GTAATCTCATTTAATTTCATTTAGTTCTATTCTTGATATAAAGTTACTATTTTTAGACATTTTAAGATTTTTTTTAGACTATTTTTAATTTTTTAAAAAGTAATGCTTTTTGATAATACTCAAATAAGATTTAAAGTCATTTAAAGCAATAAAAAGAATTTAAATTAAGAAGTAGAAATCATAATTTCATTTAAAAAATGTGATAAGAGTAGATAGTAAGTCTTACTAAAACAGTATAAGACTACTATCTAATCTTAAAACTGTGTAATAAGATCAGTCAAATTAATAATAAGATTATTAAATATTCTAGTTTTAATCTCAGACACGGTCATATAATCAGTCTATATATAATAGTCAGAGAAAAATCTGTAAATTATAAAAAATCTTATAAAATAAGAAACTAAGTAATAGACTCTTTTCTCTTATAATAATAAGACATTTTTTTCTCACTGAGATTTTTTATAGATATAAAGAATTTTTAGTAAGTATCACTGTAGTACTGAGTCTGATTCTATGAAATTACTCAGTATAAAACTTCACAGATAAAGTTCTAGAGAGAGAAAAGTATATAAGAAATCTCACTTCTTATAGATTCTTTACTTCTATTTCTATCTTTTATATAATTAATAAGATTAGCAGCTCTTGACTATATATAACTATATAGACTGAAGTTTGTGAATACTATTCATAACTCAGCTTAAATACTATTATATATTTAATCTCTAATATAATCAATCATTTAATACTTGTTTCCATCTAACGCTCGCCTTTGTAAATCAATTACATCAAGTTCAAATATTTATATCTTAATAAATATTTATTTAAAACTATTCTAAAAAACGGAATAATAATTTATAGATATATATTATATTATATTAAATTTCTATGAGAAAATAACATATAATTATTAATTTATTAAGCTTTTTAAAATACTATTTTAAAATAAAATACACAGTCTATATTTATAAATATATTTATAAATATAAATTATTTTCATGTAAAAATTAAATAACATATAGATTATATATATTTTTAATAAAATATAAACTTTTATCTTGAAATTCTTATTGATTATTAATTTATTTAAATTTTTATATAAAATATTATATTTTAAAATATTATTTTTGTAATAACTATGTATTATTTATACTTTAAAATTGTAATTTAAATAAATTATTATATTAAATCATTTAAATATATTAATATTTAATAAATTATTTTTCAAAATTTAAAATTTCAAGAATTTTCAATATTTTACTTGTAATTTATAAAAAGAATTATAATAAAAAAATTAAAAAATTCTTAAAAATTAAAATATAGAATTTTTATATAAAATAATTTAATATTTATTAAATTATAATATATTTATATAAGAATTATTATTTTTAATAATATATAAATATATATTTCTTAATTTATAATAAAATATTATATATTTTATTTTACTGTATTTTATTTTCTAATTGAATCTATATTTTAATCAATTTTAACTATATTATAATAATTTTAAATTATATTATACTATAAGTCTTGATATTTATAGATTATAAATTAAAAAATTAAAATAATAAATATTTATTGAGATTTTAACATTTAAAGTTAATTGTAATTGATTTACAAAGGCAAGCATTAGATGGAAACAAGCATTAGATAATTAATTACGTTATATTTATCTTTCTACTGTGAATACTTCTAGTAGCTATCAGTACATATTATAAAAGGTGTAAAGCTTTTATAATTGAAAGATTACTAGCTTGTGAAAAGTTATATAATGAAAGAATTAGTAAGTTAGATTATATAATCTGATACTCTCACTTATCAGAGTAACTATACATAATGCTATATATAAAATGCATCTTCAAATTAAGTACAGGTATAAAAAATAACTGGAAAATGTGTAGTAATGAAAAACTAGTTATAAGATACATTATTTTTTATCTCTCTATTTCTTCATCTTCTTTATATTCTTCTTTCAATGCATATATTTCATTGTTCTAAGTGATTTAGTAAGCTCATTCATCACATTCTCAGCAGATGAAATATATCAGATAGATATCTTGTTCTTGCAGATAAAATTCTGAAGAATGTAAAAACAGATCTCTATATACTTTAAGCAGTATGAAATTGCTTCAGAAGAGAATAGCTCTATAATGAACTTATTATCAGTATAAATTATATAAGTGAGATTATTAACTGTAGTGAGAATAAGATGATCATCAGTATTCAGATTATTGAGATAAAATGAAATGAATTCAGCATCTTCTAGAAGCTCACAGAGATAGACAAGCTTATATACAGTCTTGAAGAATGTAATATATTCAGTCTTCATTGATAATTTGAAGATCTCTGTTTACTGACAGCTCTGTCATACAACAGAGTTATCTGTTATATAGATGATATAACTGATGATTGATCAGAATTCTGAATCTCTATCAGCTCAATCAGTATCTGTATATATTACAGATTCAATTTCAGTATCTCTGTAATAGATTATTCTCTCATTGATTGAACTCTGTAGATATCAGAGTGTATACTTGTATACAGCTTAGTTCTTTAATATAGACTGAGAGCTAAATTGTTTAAGAAAATCTACAGCAAAGCTTACATTGAAATGTGTATTAATTTTCAGATATTACAGAAATCTGATACTGAATTAATAGAACTGTAGAGTAAATTCTACTATATATACAATTGATTTCTTATTATTATTCATGAAATCAACATTCTTCTTTATAGAAGTGAATATAGAATGACAGTCATTCATTAAGAACTTCTTCAGAAGATTTCTTATAAAGAGAGATTGAGATAATATTAATAAAGTTAAATCTCTATCAATCTTTATTCTTAAATAGTGATTGAAATTCTCTACATTCTTGATCTTATAATTAGCAGTAGTTTCAGCTTTGACTCAGTTCAGGTCATTAATTTTCAGACTGTAGAGATAAACATCATTTATATAGATAATTATATAGATCTGTCTTTCATCATGAATAAATAGTTCAGTATTATAGAGACTGATATAAAAGTCTGAGTATAATAGCATTTTTCACAGCTTCTTATATTATAAGAGTGCTACTTGCTTAAGACTATAGAGTCTCTGTATTAACTTATATATAAGATTATTACAGTCTTCACAGAATTCTGTGAGTTAATTCATATATATTTATTCATCAGCAGGTAGTTGAGTATTTAAAAAAGTAATTATCATATCAATCTGCAGAACATACTATTCCCAGAATACTGAGATCATTATAAGAGCTTGAGAGATGAATGCAGAGATGACAGATGCAAAGATTCTTAAGTAATTAACTCTCTTTTATTGATAATTTACACAGACAACTCAGCAGGTCTTATAGCAGATAATCTTACTCATATTATTAAACTTTTTATTAAATACTCATTGATTATGAAGAACACTTATTTATAATATTCTCTCTATCAGTTATCAGATCTCTATCTGTTTTAAATGATTGATCTCTTTAACACAGGCCTTGTAATAATATTTTCATTTTATGAAAGCTTTGATGTGTGTGAGGTTCTTCAGAATCAGAAGTGCAGCAATCTCAGAATTAGAAGATAGATCTTTAAAACTGTTCTTTATTGAAGATTTCCTCACTGTAGATTCTCTCACTGTAGATTCTCTCACTATAGTGATATTTCTTATAGATGTTAAAGAGTCATCAGATTCAACTATGAGTTCTGAAGAGTTCAGTGTATTCTGCACTAAAAAGATAGGTATTCTCGCAGAGATATCATAGTCAATTCATCAATTATTAGTGAGTATGAGAAATAATGAACACTTAGGTTGAATTTCCTCATCAATGAACAGATTATCAATTAATAAATCAGAAGTTATTGCAGTGAGTAGATCTGATATTACTGAAGAAATTACTACTGCCGCTTTATAGACTGCATTAAGTAGAACCTTCGGGTTGTATGAAGTAGTTAGTATCAATGAATCAGTAAGATGAAGATTCTTCTGAAAGATAATATCTTTTAATATATATAAATATCTGTTGAAGAAATTTATCAATCTATAATTAAAAAAACTATCATATCTCATAAAAATCAACTCTTTGAAATAGAAAGTCATCTTATTGATAAGCTTGAAAACTATCTTTAAAAATGCTTTGCAACCTCATCAGTAAATACTGCATGCAGAAGATAGAGCTTTAAGCCAGATCTTATATAGTGTAATCAGCCTTGTATTTTTAGAGCTCTTATATAATATAGTTGAGATTGATATAAGATTAAGCAGCTCTGTAACTGTATTATTATTATTATTATTCTTTCATTATACTCATATGCAAGCGGAGCTTATGATGAGTCCTTGCATGATGTTAAATACAGGTCAAGTGTTGATTATACAGGAGGAAATACAGGTGTTGAGATCATGCCAAGATAACAAGAACATAGAAAAATACAAAGAAGTGACAATTAGATACATGCAATAATAACTTTCCAGCTCAGAAACATAGAGTGATTCATTGAAGTGATTTGTACACCTCTGTATTTATTAGAAACCTGAGGTACTTGAGTTCCGGATTTAATGTATCCCCTGCAGGTTTCGAACCCACATGTCTTGGTTTCCCACGCCAAGGCGCTACCGAGTGGCCGTATTAATCATTCGGCCACCGGGGCAGCTCTGTAACTGTAATAACTGCCTTATTTCACATCTGTTCAGAAGTGAAAGAGTCTATTAATAGTGATCAGAACTTCTCAATAATCAAACTAATTAATTATTCAGATACTTCATCTTATTATAAAGTATAAGAGAGAGTCAGCTCTTATTTTATTTCTTCACTGAGTATATATACTGTGACTGTATTTGAATTCAATTCTTCACAGTCTGAGTGAATAATTATAATATCACATCTCAGCAGATTCTTGATAAATTGATTAAAGATCTGTAGATATATTATATCTCAACATCTTATTCTTATATTTTAATAGAAATATTATCTGTAATCATCATTACAAGCTTCTTGTATTATTATTATTATTATTATTATTCTTTCATTATACTTATATACAAGCGGAGCTTATGATGAGTTCTTGTGTGATGTTAAATACAGGTTAAGTATTAATTATACAGGAGGAAATACAGGTGTTGAGATCATATCAAGATAACAAGAATATAGAAAATACAAAGAAGTAACAATTAAATACATGTGATAATAACTTTTCATCTCAGAAACATAGAGTGATTCATTGAAGTGATTTGTACATCTCTGTATTTATTAGAAACCTGAGGTGCTTGAGTTTCAGATTTAATGTATTTCCTGCGGGTTTCGAATCCACATGCCTTGATTTCTCATATCAAGGTGCTATCAGATGGCCGCATTAATCATTCAGCTATCAGGGCGCAAGCTTCTTATCAGTGTAAGATGATATATTTTCAGTCTTAAGAGTCTTATCATCACTGAATATATTCACTTAAATCTTTAAGACCTTGTAAGTGATATAATATAATGTGAAATTCTTATAGAAAGCATGTTTCTGTTTAATCTTAATACATGTAATACAGAATAATAGTTTTTTCAGACTGATAATAGTAATATTAAATTACAAATCTCTGATCATTTTTAATATACTATTTTCACTGATATGATTAAGTTGATAATATCACTCATCTATCAGAAGCTGTTTTGAAAGAACTTCAGATAATCAAGATAAAGATAAGATAATGAAGAAATCAGTATCTGAATTCTTAGAGTTAATTAACTGTTCAATCTTCTCACAGCTGAAAGATCTCAAGAACTCTGTATTCAGATTGCAATCTGTTGAGATTGTCTTTAATTTTAAAACAGTTATATAGATCACTGCTTCATACATCAGATTGTTTATTATATTATAAAATGTTAATCAGCTGTGAAATAGAATGTAAATATTATTATAAGATAGATTGATATAGAAGATATCACTATTAATAGATAATAGAAACTTAAAATAGTTCTCAGTATTAACTTATATATTATAATGAATATAGCTCTGATACTTTATAAGCTCAGTGAAGATCAGATTTGCAGATAGTCTCAGTATATAGTATATATAATTGAATTCTATCAATCTTTCACTCACTGAGATAAATGTAGTGCTGATACTCTGAATCTTCAGAATAACCTTGTTAATCACTTAAACTGTTGAATTATTAATTGCTATAAGTAGACTGACCGTGTGACCGTGTCTGAGACCAGAATCAGATTTTTTGATAGTCTTATTATCAATTTGACTGATCTCATTACACAGTTTTAACATTAGATAGTAGTCTCATACTGTCTCAGTGAGACTTACTGTCTACTCTTATTACATTTTTCAAATGAGAGTATGATTTTCACTTCTCAATTTAAATTATTTTTATTACTTTAAATGACTTTAAATCTCATTTGAGCATTATCAAAAAGTGTTACTTTTTAAAAAATTAAAAATAGTCTAAAAAAAACCTTAAAATGTCTAAAAATAGTAACTTTATACTAAGAATAAGACTAAATGAGATTAAATAAGATCACTTTCTCATTTTTTTCAAGTCATGATTTCATTTTAAGATCTCATATATAGTCACTTTGCATGTTTTTTTAATGACTAGTCTCAGCAGAATTCATGCCAAGAAATGTATGAGATCAGATCAAATGAGATCAAATGTGAAATTCATGATCTCAGCGGTCAGTCTAGCTATAAGCTCTGAAAATTGTGATCTATTACTTACTATGTGATATTCAGCATCACTATCTTATATAGTGAGAGAATTCTTGTGAGATTTCATGAAACAGACTGATACATTTATAATCTCTGTAAGATTTATTATCTGAAAGATCTCTGAATTAACTGTAATAAATAGTTAAGTTCTACTCTTACTATTATTCTTCTTTTCTTTGAATTTCTTTATTCTTACAGTATTATAGATTCTTCAATTATCTGAAGCACTGTCAGAATTAATTAATTAACAGTTATCAAAGTAAGATCTCTCACATTCAGAATATGTAGATGAATTGCCTGATCTCTGATAATTTCAGAAGCTCTCTTATGAACTATTATAATCACATTCAGTACAGTCTTCACAGGCCGAATTTAATGTATTGTTGTTAAAATTGATAGATGTAGTAATTATTGTAACTGTTATAGCTGAGTTAGCTATAGAATCTGTATTCTGTAGATTTTTTTTATCTTTTAAAGAGTTAAGTCATAAGTGAATCTTCTTCAGAAGAAGATTAATATTCAATATTACAGCTGTGAATTTGAAATTCTGTATCTTCTCTATCTTCTTTTAAACATAATCTCTTCAATTATTGAGTAGAACTAAGTAGAAGATATTAAATATTTATATATCTGAGAGAGAAGTATTTATCATCTTCAATTTTATAATAGTGAACTGAAACTTATCAAAGAATGTGTGTAGATTGATAATCTATATATCACTAAGTAATATGAATTTCAGAACTGTCTCATAATATAACTGTATTTTTAAGATAGAGTATTTCTATTTAATCACATTCTATAGAGTATAAGTGATTTGATTTTCATTATATTTGAAGAAATATGATCTGATATCTGTACTTAATGAGTTTGAGATGAATGTGTAGAGTTATCAGTTTCTGATATCTCAGAATAATGCTTATTTATCATCTCTTTATAGAGAGTTCTGAGTCTGTTATTTCTCTATTATATATTAACACTGTGCATCAATCAGTTTTAATTTCATGAAGATGCTTTATATAATGTAATTGAATATATCAGTTAGACTGTTTAATCTCACAGTATTCTTGACATCTTTCTTAAATTAAGAGATTATCTTATCAATATAACTATTTAATTTATAATGATTGAATTTCAATCTTTCACTGAGATTAGAATTTCATGTGACTGTATAGACTATTAAGATAATGACAGAATAATTATTAACATTCTGTAGTCAATCTATAGAGAATCTCTGTTAATAAAGTTTTTTTAGTTATAATTTAAGTTCTAGAACTCTTCACTTCTTCTTCTTTATCTTAAATGTTATCTTGAGATGTTTTATCTATTGATCTGATATTGTCTCATCTGAACAGTAGACTTTATAAGAATTAGTATTAAGCTATTAAGTAGATTAAGAGGCTGATCTGACTATGTCAGAAGCTGTATTCAAATCAGCTTTAAATTAAGAGAGTATTTCAGAGCATTTATCAATAAAGCTTTTAAATACTTTAGAAGAATATTCACTGATAGATTATAAGTATAAAGAATTATCATTATCTATAACTAACTCAGTGAAAAGAATGTAAGATTATAAATATATATATAAGTGAGATTGTATTAAATTCATCATCTTGATATTCATTTATTAAACTCTTGTCAATATTATTCTCTTTTTCTTACTTTTTTACAATGTGATGTGTTTTCTGTAAGTCTTTTTTTTAAAGTGAGCAGTAGTATTATTGATTAACAAGATCTTAAACACATTAATACTGATAGAATAAGATGATTTTAACACCTGATAAATGTATTGAATGAAGCAGTAGTTAAAATAATGATTATATCAATAAGAAATCCTGAATTGGCAGTGATTTTTGCACAAAACAGGTCTCATAACCTGTGAAAGGTGTAAAGCTTTTGTGATTGAAAGGTTGCTAGCTTGTGGAAAGTTATATGGTGGAAGGATTAGTAAGCCATATCACGTGACCTGACCCATATCACATCAAGTTGGAAACACCTGAATAATCGCCTGCGAGCACTTATTCTTACATACTTACAGAAGAACCTTCTTTTCTAACCTTAAAAGTTGAAATAAGAAAGATATATTGACAATTATCTGAGTACAAGGTATCAGCACCAGCGCGTCGAGGTAACAGAGGAAGATTGATATACGCACGCCTCTCTTTCTTCTCCATACGACAAAAAACGTCCTAGGGGATCAAACTTTCCCAACTCGTTCGTCCTTCAACATCCTCCTTCTCACTCAAACCAAACACCACTCACTCAACCCAACCCGTGAAATATGTATTGAGCTGAGCGCCTCCCGCTGACCTCTAACTCTTTCCCTTTTCATTCCATAGTTTTAAAAAAGAAGAAAGATAGATATGGAGAGTAGAAATGGAAAAAGGAAAAAAAAAAGGTAAAAAAAAAAAGAAAGAAAAGAAAGAAATACCAATCAATCACTAAGATGATCGCGAGAACCTAAAGTTTCCGACTTTTCTGATTTCTCTGATGTTATCTGATATTATATTAGGGAAGAAGAAAGAAAAAGAAAAAGAAAAAGAAAAAAGAAAAAAGAAAAAAAAGAGGTTAACAATGGTATAGAGACCAGCCATCTAACCCATCCTCATTATCACGATCTGTCTCCACTGGCTGGTGGTGCGAGGAGAAAACAGATGACGACGGCGGCGACGGCGGCGGCAGCGCTCTAGACTCCACCTGAACACCCCTAGCAACTTCAGCCCGAAGCTCCTCTTCGAGTCACAGCTCTTCTTCCTGATCCATCTCAGCCGGTTTCAACAGCCCACCAACTTTCATCTGCCGGTCCCTCTCTGCCATTTTAGCGTCTCGCAGCGCCTGCTCGCGCTCTTCGGCATATAACTCGGCATTGTCGCCGGCAAATTCTTTTAGCGAGATTAAGAAGTCGCGGAGGTGGGTTTTGAATTTGTTGAAATCATCGTTAAAATCGAAGAGGCCATCGACGAATTTATCGATTTGGGCTCTGTGGGTCACATATGTGATTAGGAACAAACAGCCCATAGGAAAAGGGGGGGGTGGGGAGGGTGAAGGCATATGTCTGGAACTTGACTCACTGATTCAGATTCAGGAAAGTAAGATTCTTCTTCAAATACACCGTGAGGAGTTCCCTATTAGAACTCCGGTCCGCCTCGTCTGCTGGTAGTATGCGCCCAGGGATCTTGTCAATTTTGACAAGGTAAAGCATGCGGGAGAGAAGCATGGCTTGGTTTTTGAACCCTACAGGATAAAAAAGAAACAGGTTAGCGCTCTATTTATTCCCTATCGTCGGCACCGAGGACACGAAAGTTTTAAGACATACCAGCTTTATGACTACTATCCGTCAGAACGGCAAAGACATTTTGAAGAATAGGCATGTAAAATTGTTTGAAGAAATGGCTCGATATTTGCGGGTCCGTTTCGGTCATATTATTCACCAACTCGAGGAATATTGTCAAGGCGGTATTTTCCACTTCTCTGTCATCGTGCTTGCTCGCCTTCTCGATCGATTCGATCACGTACTTGAATTGATTTTCACTTAGTCGTATGAGGGAGGGGAAACAGTATAGATTGATGGCCTGTAGGAGCTTGAAGTGCTCCACGTAGTGTTCGGGGTATTTGTGGGAGTCAGCGTCCAACATGGCTTGCGTACATGCAAATACGCATTCCATGATAAGCGGGACTTTGTCGTCCATCAGGTTCTGCCGCGTTGTCAGCTCAGCTACAAAACGGGATGGGGCCGTTCGAAAAGACGAGATCAGAGACTTACATGTAGTTTGTGAATGAGAGTTGTCATAACGCTAAGGACCTCAGCTTCCCGTGCATCTGGAACATTGTTGCTGTAATCCACAAGGACGGCATCTAACAACAGGGGTACCATATTGGTATTGACCATTTCCAAATTGTCCGCCTTTTCCACATAGGTGCCTATAAGCTTCAGGATTTCCTTCTTGATCGTCCGTAGACCCCGTACCTTGGGCATTTTCGTGGCGTTTTCTCCTAATGCCGAAAAGGATCGAAGTCAGTCAAATACATTTTTTTAACAGTCGGAAAAGAGGAAGAGAACTAACCTCCTCTAGCAACAGCATCAGATATAAGCGGACTGGTCGCCCTATACATATTGAGCATATCATGATAGATGCGGCTTATCTGTGAATCAAAGAAACTCCCAATTGACGAACACGCAGCAACATTCGTCTTCATAATGTTACCAATAATCTTGATGGTTTCCGGGTCTTCCAGAATGGATGGATTCTGCATGGCTTGGCTAATTATCGCATCCCAGGCCGAATTCGGTAATGCCATGAGGTTCTCAATCAGCCGATCTTGTAGGCTCTTCTGTCCCTGGGCCGAAATCATATAGCCGCAGGCCTCATAGAAGGTATGGATTTGTTGCGGGGAGAGGTCGCAGGTGATTTTCCGCATAGTTCGGACGATTTCTTCAATGAACGGTTCGCTCTCGCCGGGCTGGAGAGCGACGAAATGCCGCTTGCACTTGTTGGCAATTTTGATGAACGTATCGCACGCCATATCCTGGACACCTTTGGGATTTTCACATGAGCTTTGCGTTCTTTAACTTTTTGGAGCAAAATCAGGGATTGAAGTACTAACCTTCATGCGTCTCGTGCATAAACTCGAACAACTTGTTCACCACCGTCTTCAAAAATTTCCAATGTGCCTTCAAAAACCGCGGGTACTGTCCAACAATGTACATGATATTGCTTGCTACGACAGCCTTATTGTCCTTGCCCCGTTTCATTTCTGTCAAGCCAAGCAGGTCTTTAATAACGGTGACAAGAAACCGTTTTTCTGTCTCCTCGTTCATCGCACCGGATATGGAGCCAATCGCCCAGCAAAGTGTATTGCAGTTCGCCCATGACCATTCGGACCCGTCAACTTGCTTGGCCAGTTTATCCGCCATAATGTTTTCAGTGTCCACCACATCGAGATGGGTCAGGTATACCAAACATTCTCTAGTGGTCTTGTATAGTTGAATGGTATCGCTCTCTTTAACGAACTCGCGCACGATTTCACCCTCGTCGTTTTCCACGATTAGAACTTCCTCGGGCCTCACCATCTTCTCTATCATTACTACTCTCAGTTCCGATAAGACCTCCTGGTATTTGTGTTTTCGGAGCGGGTAGTTGGCCAGGGTACTAGGGTTCGGAGCTCCTCCATTCGAAAGGCCGCTCACGCCCATATTGACTAAGGGGTTGATGTCAGTGATTGGGAGCTGCTGCATTTCTTCATACAACTCTTGCACCAGTTTTGTCCAGTACTCGAGGCAGATCTTGAAAATTTCCCTGTCTTCTATCTTGCTAATACAGATAAGGTAAAAATGCGCACGGATGAGAATGTTGGTATCGGGAAGTTTTTCAAGGAGCTAAAAAATATCAGAAGCAGTCAGTGTTAAGGCTCACCCGAAGAAAATTGGGGGTTAGGCGGGAGATAAACCTACATTTAGGTGAACGCTGAAGAAGTTGCAAAGGAAAAGGGTTAAATTCAAAATAAACTCTTGTTCACGGGATCCGCTCGTAGCGTAGGTCTGCTTGAGATCCATGGGGGACGGGATCATTTCCGATACCTTCATCATCGTGTTCATAAACATTTGCACGAGGGTCTCGTCAAACAGGTACTGCTGCCCAATCTGTACACTCCCGATCTCTGTTAGACACTTGAGCGTCAAGTTCATGAAATCGGGCACCATCAAAAACCTATCGAGCAGCTTGCTGATGATTTTTTGATCGAATGCATATCCGAGCGGAATCCAGTTCAGGAATCGAAGCAATGTTTCTAACGTGGCTTTTATGAGGCTACTTTGGTGCGCATCGGCCAGAATTTGGGAGAAGAGGTTGAAGATCAGAGGGAATTCATTGCACATTGCTGTCTTCAGGCGCTTCGCCTTCTCGGAGATCATCTGATCCTGGGAAAAATCGAACACTTCCTCAGATAGCAGTCGGAAGATGGCCATGTTATTCTCACAGACAGACAAATTGGCAGGGGACGCCTCGGTAATTTCTTTAATGAAGTTCGGCCAGTTATCTGGCCAATCTTGCTTCAATATTGATACCAGCACGAGATTGAGCTTGTTGAGGAACGCTCTCTCATTCTTTAGTTTCTCCTCCGTATTCGAGTGTTCGATGATGCATTCGCAGATGAAATTTCGGATGCCTGGTCATGAATGTTAAGTACAAAAGATTTTTTTAAAAAAAAATAGAAGAGAGGCGGGAATAGCTACCTTGGCGTTGCACAACCGGAAGGATATTCCATCTTGTCGAAATAAGATCATCCAATACCTGTAAACCAAGATCTGTAACAGAAGATCAGCCCACAAATGTCCCACACATGCATTGTAATATAAGGGTTGAATAGGGTCAGCTTTACATTTCGTGTAGACGTATCCGGATTGCTGAAGGATGTCCGCGACTACGAGCCATGCATCCGGATTCTGCTTGAACTATAGTTCCACAAGAGTTCTATCAGATAAAACCGTCTCATGAGACAACTAGCTAGACCGGAGGTGAGGTCAGGAAGAAGTCGTGGGCAGGGGATAATTACCTCGGTCAAGGCATATTCGGCTTGTTTTTGCTGTATACAAAAGAAAACGATTAGCCAAATGTCGCGATCTTTTAAAACATGGCTGCTGTTCTCAGATTTCCTCCTCTGCTTTCTCCTCCCTCCTCTTGTTTAGGCGGTTGTCCATTATATATTGCATATAACTGGACATGAGCTAAAAATTTCAAGCAAAAACGAAAGCAAAAGCAACACTTACAACATCACCCTTCCCTTCATAGAAGGCCCGAACCGTATTATCTAGCTCTGCGATTGAAAACGACATACCGCGCCAAAAACACAAAAAGGCAGCAGAAGCAGGGGACGTGCCCTGTCAACAGAAGTCTTCTAACTATTCGCGTCCTAGGGTTTCGTCTTTTGATATATTCGTAGCTGGGTCTTTGTTGGTGGTCAAGGACGGACTCGCACGGAAGGGTTGCAAAGTCTTTGCTTCTTTTCTTTTCGTCAAAACGAAACAGAGAAAGAAAGAAGAAGAAAATACAATTTTAGGTTCTTTAAATAGCTAAGAAGCTGTTGTGTGTGGTAACTGTAGCTATATTCGTTGGAGGGAGGAGCCGCGAGGCGGTGGGCCAATCTTGCGCGGCCAAAGGATTTATTTGTTTCCCGGAGAAGGGCCAAAAATCTTAGCCCGCTTCTCGGAATTATCCTGTTGAAAAAAAAAAACGGTGAAGGTTGTTAGTGTTGGTTTCGGCTATCACCCGCAAACCGTTGTCAAAGCCATACCTCCCGAAGCCAAGGACAAGTTTATGTACCGAATGAGGAGTGAGTAGGTGGAGCGGGAAACACGGTCAGATACACAGGCTGGGTTCGATACAACGGGGGTTCCTAGGCATTAAGGTGGATTGGGAGGGGATAGAGGAGAGGTAATAGAGGGAAATGAGAGAGAGAAGAGAGAACCGAGCGATGCGCGATGAGAATGAGAGAGATGAGAGACAAAAGAGAGATGAGAAATAAAGAGATCCCCGTGAGAAATGAACTGGCGGAGTTGTTTTGGGAAATGCAAACAAGGCTACACTGGGGAGAGGGGCGTGCATAGCTTAGTCAGCAGCTATAACTACCCCTCTTCTTCTGGGAGAATTCTTAGACCGGCTTGGGATGTATAATTGTCTCTATGGACAAGGGAAATTCAACTGGGTTTGTAATTGGTTATTTTGATTTTGTCTCCGCAGAGTAAAGGAGGTATCCCATGCTATAGAGCAGATCGAGAAGATATTGATATATATATATATATTTATTAATATATGCCGCCACCCATCCACCATTAATCAATCCCTTTCAAATACCATCTTTACCCTGAATGAGATGAGAAAGCAAGGGAATCAGAAAGCCATTAACCATTACATATTACATTCCGTGACATCGTCAGGTTATTGAATTCATCTAAAAAGGAATTTCACAATTTCCTTCAAATTAAAAGACCACTTGAAAGTGCAGGCCGTTAACGCACGCATCTTCAACCACGCCCTCCAGCACCTCGCGCACTCAAGCCATATACAGTTCATATCTGAGCGCATCCAGACTGTTGAAGCATGGAACATGAAAAAGCAGTCAATCATTTCATCAATCAATCAATCAATCAGAAAGACAGATTTGGCCGCCTATCAACGACACAAATTCCTTTTGGGAGCTGGTAAAAGAATAAAATAGACATCGACGTGAAAAAGAGATGGGAGAGCGGTAGAGTACTTAGAACACTCAACAAAGACATGTATAACGTTTCGTATACGTAGGAAAAGGGACTAATAAATAGAGAACAGTAAAAGGAAATAGAAAGCAATCGACTAAAATGCGTCTTTTCAATAGAAAATAAAAAACAGCAAGACAAAAACTAAAAATAAAGAGAATATATATATAACCCCTTACAGATCGATTTATTAAAGCCAGCCAGCCAGCCAGCTAGCCAGAATTCGATTGGGGCGTGCAGAGGTTGGAACGCAAAAATTTTGGAGGCAACCATGTGGGCCCCCAGCTAGCAGTTTACCCTGGATTTTCCTTCTCTTTCTCTTTCTTGCGTGTGTAGAGTAGAGTTCAAACCTGAGCAACCCACTAAAATCATATATCATATCATAGATCATATATTTAGACGAATATCAAGGGAAATTAGGCTTCAGCCCTTGAAAACCATACGGCAGAATCTGCTGCTTGACAACTTCTCCAGGGGCAATGTATGCGCCCCTTCCAAGGCTCACACCGGGTAAAATAGTAGCTCCAGCGCCAATCCAACAGTCTTCAGCAATAACAACAGGGCGGCCCTGGTACTTGCTGCGAGAACCTTTGCGATCCTGCATGCTTCCCATCGCCATGGATCCCAATATCGTGACATTAGGGCCTATCCACGTATGCGCGCCGATGTTGATAGGGCAGTCGTCTGCGAGCAGACAGTTTTCGGATATCAGTACGTCTTCCCCGATATTGATGTTGTATCCGAAATGACAATTAAAGGGCGTTTCAACGATGGCGCAGGGCCCCAAGGATCCTACGGGGGTGTTGGAGCCTGGTTCGGCTTGCGGGTCTAATGGGGGGATTAGGACTTCTTTCAGCAGTCGCCGTCGCTCGTCCGGGCTGATCCCTAGGTTCGGATTGCTGGCGTTATTGTATCGCCATAACGCGGCTTTGCAACGTTCTCGCTCTCGGTTGAGCTGCGGGTCAAAGTAATTCTGGTACGGTTCTCCAGCAAGCATTTTTTCCTTCTCGGTCTTAGGGGTCTCGAATGCGACGTGAGGTTCCATGTTAAGAGCTAGCCGAGCCTGAGCCGGGTAGCTGCTTGTGTCAACGTGGGGTTGCTGGTGTTTGGGACGCTGCTCGATATTGCCTTGAAAAACGGGCATTCCAGGCTTCTGATGTGAAGCGCCATGGGATATTTCCCGCAAGGCGGCATGATAATCGGACTTTGGTTGCTCTGCACGAGAAATATTATTAATACCAGGACCATCTCGAAACTCTCTTTGGGAAGGATGTTCCGGCGTGAAAGACGAGGGACCAGATGGCCAGGTATCATTCGACCACGAACCTCTAGATCCCGCGCCAGCCGCACTTGTGATGTATTGCGACGGAACACGCTCGTTTTCGTCTACAGGGATAGGTCTAGACTTGCCATTGTTTGTATGTATTGTAGTTGGGGCCCTGTCGTGTCTCTGGGGGCTCATGTCAGGGATGTATTGAGGAGGTACCTCGGAATAGCCGTCTTTGGCTTGGAGTGGAACTGGTGGTTTGGAGGTAGAAGGCTTCTGCCAAGTGCTTCGGGACGAGTAACCTTCGCATAAGAAGCCACCGCGCAAACAGTTATTGCCTTTTAATTTAAAAATCCAACCGTTAGACCCGGTGTTGATTTGGAAAGAATGAAAGGTAATAATATACTACGTCTTGGAGGAGAAAGGAGACTGCGTAAGGGCCAGGTGCCGATGGGGCACATGGGTCAATGTCGAAAAAATGGAATATGGCTCAAAAACTTACAAGAAGGATGCTGTTCATCGCACTTCTTCTTCCTTCTTCTGCAGGTCATACAACCCGTCTTTGTGCGGTTGCTGAAAACCCTTTTCCTCTTGGGACCAACTTGTACAGGGCCAATTGGTCGTTCTTGCGGCGGCGTATGGGAATAGGTGAATTTGCGGGTTGAGTCGGCAGATTCACCCTCGGGCACCGTGGGCCAGTTCTTTGCGGCATGGTCAGGGCCTTGGACATCGCGCTGAAGAGCTTCTGCGAGCTGAGCATCTGAAGAGTCAATAGGCTGGTGACCAAGTTGCGCATGATTCGTCAGCTGCGTATCGTAACTATCCCAGGCAGAGGTGTTGCCTGTCGATTGGACGCTGACACTTCGCTCCGGAACGGTTGCAAAGCTCTGCCTGGCTCTTTTGGCCACTGAATCTGCTTCAGATGCTGTTTGCGCGTGGGTCGTGCCATTTGGGGGAGCGCCTTGAATTTGAGGGTCGAGTTTGTGATCAGGTTGGGAAACAGGACTCCTGGAGACGCTATGACCCTGGTACGAGGACGGAGAAGTCTGGCGTTCATCTGATTCTGAACGTTTTCGTTTGTTTCGATTTGTGTTTGGAGAATTGCCGTCGGAGACAACGTATGTGGCTTCGGGATCCTGGACTGTGGGGTTCGCAGACTCCAAGGATTGTTCAGGTTGGCGAGCTGGCGTCCCCGAATTCCTCGAAGCGCGATCGCGCTCCGCAGTGGCACTCGCTGACGGCTCTTCGTTCTGGGCGACTGTGGGATTGTTCTCCGACGGACCGGTATTATTGCTATTATTGCCGTTATTGTTGTTACTGTTAGAAGGTAGCGCACCCTGGTCCCTCCCATTTACAGCGGTGAACCGTGATGGACTATGTTCTGGATTGGAGTCTTTATTGGAATCATGGTTTCCGTTAACCGCTGGGACCGATGCGACAGCGGACATCTTTTTTCGTGTTTGCGGCAGATCTGCCCGACTGAAGAAGGACTTGCTTATATCAGAAAAAAGAAATGAAGACAGCTGGTTGTCGCGGAAATGCTAATATCGAGAGATGCTCGAGACGGGGTTGGTGGGATAGAGGCAATCGCCGGAGGGATAAATATTGCTTGCACTATAGCTAAGGTTTCCAAACAGTTGTTGGGAGGGCGTCAGAGGAAATCGAGGTGGCGTGTGTGCTTGTGTGTGGTTGGTTATATAGAAGGGGCAGCCGTGGGTTTTTTGGGTTGTTGGAAGCTCGCGATGTATGTACCTAAGGCCAACTACACCGAAAACGGACCGACAGAACAAGTAAACAACAACCACAATTGAGAAGTGGATTTAACGCAAAGAAAAAGAAGATGATGATGATGAGTAAAGGAAGGGAGAAGAGTCACTAAGTAGATGACTGAGGGAGAAGAATAAAAACAAGTGACGGTTGGTTGGTTAAGTAAGACGGGGCGGGGCGCGCAGGTTGGGACAAGGGACCCCTCCAACCTCGACCAAAGGGACAAAACAAGTAGCAAAGATCAGACAGAAAGGCACAGCAAGATTGACGCGATGCGATGCGATGCGGGAATGGGGTCGGGGGATTGGATGGTGAGCAGGATTGGCGGCACAGCGAGACGAGAGAGGCGCCAGACGAGGCGATGACGAGCAATTTCGAGTTATCAGGGCCAGAGTGAAACCAAACACGACGAAACCCAGAGCGCAGGTCAGACCAGACAACAACAGACAAACAACGAGAAGAGTTGAATCGGGGAACGGATATAAGGCATAAAGCAAAGGGAGGGGGGATGTCGAGGAAGAGCGGGAAGAAAGAGGAAGAAGAGGGAGAAATCGAGGAAGAGCGCAAGATAGTTAGTTAGCCGCAGGGAGAGAGCATGGAGTGGGAAAAAGAGGGAAAAAAAAAAAAAAAAAAAAAAAAAAAAGACACAGACAGCCGGTTTTAGGGTCTGCCTTATTCTATTACTATTATTATCATTATTATATCATTATTATATTAGTTATTATTATTATATTAGTGACAGCAGCATGGACTAACGGACTAGCTAACTACTATCTCCATCAACACTGTGTTCAACCTGTCTTCCCTGCCGGCTTTTCGCTTGTTCTGCTATTCTGCTAACACTGACAACATTCTACTGAACACTTTCCTCTGTTATTATTATTATTGACTTGGGCGTGACATGGCAGTACCCAGGTAAGCACCGGCCACACAGCCCCCCCCCCCCCCAACACTGCCGGGCGGTGGTTGGCCAGAAAGCTGTCTCCTGCGTGTCTGTGACTTGAGTTGTTGTCTGCGTCGATGTCTCTGCTGCTGGGCGGCTGGGCAGGTGTGGGCGGGCGTCTGTATCGTTTTGTTTCGGCTGTCGCTTGCGCCAGGGATTGGCCGCCCGCCGCTGCCACTCCCGTATTTGGGCTCTGCGGGGCCGCCAGAACAGAACGTTACGAGGATGTTCTGATTTCTGAAATTCTGACTGTACAAGTAACGTACTGTACTTTCATGCCTGGTCACGACTCACTTGAGAAAGTCAGACAATTGGCGTCCGCTACTACTCCGTAACCCTGGTGAAGTTCCGCGCTAGACCTGGGCGTTTCATGCCAGGATGCTTCGTGAAATCTCGATTGATAGCGCTGTGTACGGTATGAGTTTATATTGGTATGTTGCAGGCCCCTGTATCGTATCGTCACGTATTCCGAGGCAGCTAAGACCTAAAACCCAGCGGCAACGGTATGTACGGTATGTATGTGCTCTACGGATCGAGGACTTCTTGACATCAATTATTTACTTCTACTTGAAGTTCCTGGCAGTGACGACAATCAAAATAAATAATAATATCAATTCTACTACTAATAATATCAATAGCATTGGACATCTGTCCGGCATATCAGGTACTAGTCTCTCAGTGGCCCTATGTGGGCTCAACGGCACAAGAGTCACAAACAAGATATAAGCGCGAGCAGATATACCTCCACCCACTCACTAACCAGGGAACGGAGGGGAAATGGAAAGAGCCCAAAAGAAAAGAACCTTCGAAGATGAACGACTTAAACCAATTATGGCGCCGCGTCCCGTTCTTCCCGCCCCTCTGTCCAAGGTGCTACCAATGGCCCCGAATAACGTGACGAGATGAGGGGACAAAGCGGATGATGGTGAAACTAAAATGGTGTTTCGTCCAACTCTGTAAACGCCCATGATCACCTGGGCGCTGCTGGGCCAGGACCGACTATTTGCCGCATACAAGTTTTTCTCTTTGGCTGGGGGGGGGGGTGGAGAGTGGTGCTATTGTTCCACGCACTTGGGCCCTTCTGCTGATTTGGGGGGCGCTCTCTCCTCTCCCACATTGTTTCAGAGAAACAGCCAAATCAGCGCCTACCTACCAAACCCCCCTTAATAGCACAAAGGGCAAAGGGGAGGAGATGGACGGCTTTCCGTGTTTTTTTTTTTTTTTTTTTTTTTTTTTTAACCACCACCACCACCAGCCGTGGGAGCTGGACACGCCAATCATGCCCAATCAAGCCTGAATCGCTGATACGGTCGTACCCCGTAATTTTTTGTTCACAGTTTCCCCCCTCGTATTCGTTCGTGCGATGGTTTCTGTCATGGTTCCTCGCGCCAGTCGCCGCTGAGGCTCAGACAAGAGCTGGAACAGCCAGCACAGGGCTGGGGTGGAAAGCGAACAGATCCATTCTTGATCGCCCCGGATCTGTCCGGATGGCGCAATTCAGTTTCTATTGAATATATGTCGCGGAAATGCGACCATAAACACCTTCTCTCTTTTCTACTTCTCCCTCCAATCCGTCCTCGTCTCCTCGTGATGGCCTTCATCTCTCCAGAGCAGGCTGATCCGTACCAATATCTACGTTGCCAGCCATTTACCGTTAATGTCTTGCGATAATACGGAGTACATATCCATCCACTCGGTCGGGACATCAGGCTTGGCGTTTGAAGCACAAAACACCCAGAAGCGATAATAAGACGAATAATAATGCGTCATTGGCAAAAGTATCCCAGTGGCGACCTCGACCTCGGGAGTGCAGCAGTGATCCCCATCTGGCGCGGTTAGGCCTCTTCCGCCGTACTTACCTCCATATCGACCTATCCAATCACCGCTTAGCATTGAGCCTCTTGGAAGCAAGGGAAGGTTAGACGAAAAAGCAAGACTAAACTGGTGGCTGCCTGTGACTTCCTAGGTACGGAGTACATATTTCTCTTGTCGCCAACCGCGGACTGAAAATCACCGGTCATGCCATTGATGCCGGCCATTATTATTCTGAGCAGCAGGCAGGATTGGGAAGACACTCTGTACTCCCGTAATGTTTCCGTTTTCAGCGATAATGTTCAGTTACGCAACTTCATTGGCCCAACACTGCTCTCGTTTGCCTTATTGATGGATGGATTGATAACACAGACAGACGCCAACAAACGAAAAGAGAAGAGGCCCGAGCTAAACAAAGCACTCAAACCAGCCCGGATGCCCGTTCCCGCCCCAAAAAAATTGGAAGCAGTTTCTTTACGATTGCATCATGTGAAGCAGTTTAGTGGTCAGGTTTGTCCTTCAACTAACGAACCCAACTAATGACTTACATACCAACCCTGTTGATGCCAGAGCCCTGAGTGGTCAAAAAATTGGACCTTAACCAGGTTAGTCCCTGATTTTCGATCACCTACGTTCCACCATTTGCTTTTTTCCGGCTGACACCGCGGCAGAAAGTATCATGGACCCGCGCCTTTTCGAGACCATGATCCTCACAGTCCAATGGAACAGCAGCCGATACCTCTTGGCAGATTTTCCGGGCTGGACGACGTGGTTGTGTGATCGATCAATATTAATCAAGCATTGGAAGCGATGACAGAGGCTGCTCAAATCAGCCCCGCCATTGTTTTTCCCGCGGCCCCCTGTTTCCAGCAGAAAAAGCAAAGAAGGACGGGGAAAAAAATCTTCTCAGCCCGGCGCGACATGGATGAGACCCGACCCCATCATCATCATCATCATCATCGTCGTCGTCGTCGTCGTCGTTGTCGTACCAATTATCGGCACATGCGCTTGACGAGTATGGTACGTTTCGACATACGTACGGTATTGGTAGCGTATTTACACACTTGTCTCAAACTGTACGTAAAGTATGTATGTACATGTACATACATGTACATTACAATACGCGTACACTTCTGACACCACCTGCCAGCTCAATGTGTTTGTTCCCATCGGCTCTGTCCAGTCCATCGGGATGAATAAGGCGATCTTTAGTTACTATGTACTACGTCTTTATGTGGGCATCCAATATGAATAGTGAATTATACATCCATCTATACGCGTTGACCATGGCATTGACTTTTAAAACACGGCTTACTAGGGCTGCTTTTATCAGTTCTCTGTCCTAGGATTATGGGATATTCTCTGCGCAGTACTCTCACTGGTCACAATAATATGGGCCAAGTTACATTCCACCAATCACTCATCCCCGCATCCTCGTCCAATCAGTCGCTGCGGCGCATGGCGCGCTGTCCGAGGATTTTTTCTCTCTTCGCGGTGCCGGGCGCCAGCCGCCAGTCGCCAGCCGCCAACCAACTCTCAAAGTGTGCTGCGTGCTGCGACAAGCGGTCAGCGCGAATATTGGCCGCCCCCCACCCTTCGCTTAGAGTTTTGCTTGCCGCTTTGTCCGCTTTGTTTGCGTCTTGTGGGATAAGGATTCTTATTATTAGAAGGGCAACAACCGAACTCAGCTTGGGCCGGAATGGCCATACTGGCATACCCATGCTAGCATTCGTTTCGAGCGGCCGTCCAATTATCTTGGAAAAACTGGTTTGTGAGTTTGAGTTTGTGACTGCGATTGCTCAACTTTTCTTCCTGCGTGTAAATCCATGTTTTAACGGTTTCATTTTTCCCATCTCACTTTCTCGGGGTTCGCTTTCAGACTTCCTGATTTAGACTTGGACTTGAACTCAAAAATCCAAGGTCAGTAAATAGTGTATTCTTCTTCTTATTCTAAGAATATACACGCTGTTGAGGTGTGTGTGGGGCAATTTTATACATGTTTTGGCCGGGCATGACTGGGCATCACCATTATTGGGCATGACTGGGCAACTCCCATTTTTGCGAGACAGAAACACTAAGATCAATGCCTGAAAACCTGGGACGAAGTATATCATCAATCAGGGGCTAGAAAAACAGCACTCTCGCCTTTCTCTCTTCTCTTTCCCACTGCAATTGTTCAGAAAAAAGTCACCGAGACGCTCATGGTCAGGGCACATCTTGCGTGATTAAAGAGAAGGATGAGTGGGGTGCTCGCTAGGATCATGGCTACTGAATGATACCTATCTGAACGCAACCCCCGAAAGTTAACAGATACCAAAAATTAGCGCTACCTCGGCCGCAGTAGCGCCGCAGTACCCGCATGCCGCTCGCTGCTCGCCAAAAACGCCTAGTTTGCGGCGGGATCACGGTTCGCGCGGCCGCTGGGGGCGCTGGACGCCCCCTCTTTTCCTCTTGCCGCCCTTGTTTCCTTTCCCCTTCCCCCGCTCGTAGCGCTCTCCCTCCCTTGCTACCCGCCATCCTATCATGTGCGTGCGACAGAAGCACATTGCCTCGCAAATGGCAAGGTTTGCCTGACCGCTTTTCACCAATGACAATCCTTGTTTGTGCACCAGGAGCCATGGTGTGATGGCAGAGCTGAGGTGGCCGGGCGGGCGGCAGGGTACGTTTTAGTTCATCCTTCATTATTATTGTGATGAGTTGTATTATGATTTTCCTGTTGCGGCCCAATCATGGCAGTGGGAGAGTGGGCGGCTGTGCATTGAAGTTTTGAACGCGCATGCCGCCCCCATCTGATTTTCTGTTGTTAGTTAGCGCCGCGCGAGCGACAGTTTTGTTATTTATGCGCCCTTCAGACGAGCGTTCCCGCGCCCAACCGCCGCATAATTTATCGTATGGCGTATGTAATTATTTTTTTTCTCCCCCACCGTAGCGACTATCTTTCATCATTCGCCCTTATCACTGCCACACCATTTATATCGATAATAATTGATCAGACTCGGCCAGGGGCGCTAAGATAAATGTCAGGACGAAATGCCGCTGTTTCCCCGAAAATCCACGGCTTTACGAAAGCTATGGTTTCGGTGGATGATTATTAGTATTTTGTATCATAACTCCTGCGTAGCGCGCGCAGAGATTAGAATTTATGTACTCCGTATCACTTGAGAGCAAGCATAGTGCTGCGACGGCCGGCATTTTTCTTCGGGATAGTACAGTACGGAGTACGAAGGCATCTGATATTCCCATCCCAGTTTATTAGAGGGGGCCATGAATAAGGAAATAATTTCCATCAGCCACGCAACGTTTGCAGTGAGAGAAAATGTGATGAGTAAGTCTCTGTCGTTTTCTGGCGCTTGACTCACTCACGGCGCTCTCTTTCTCCTCATCTGAGTCCAGAAGAACACTCTCTGTCTAGGAGATTTGATTAGTCCCGAAATGTGCTTCAAAACGCAATCAGGCCCCATGACACGTTTGATCAAGAAGAAGCAAGATTATTATGCGCGGTGCTACGGAAGTAGCTTGCTCAGCCCCGAATCTCGCTGGACGGGAAGTACTAGTATAACACTTACTATTTCATCTTCTTGTTCAGAATAATTCCCCCCTCATTTATCTATTCATATCCATGGCGGCAAGTGGGAGGGAGCATGACGGGGGAGGAAATTGAAATGAGATTAAACTCACCCCCTTCAATTTGTTTCAAACCACTTCCTCCCCCCCACCCCCAACAGCAGTCCTAAACTTGCGTTTACAACTTGACCAGCTAATGAAGTTGCGTATGGAAGGGTGTATCATTGCTACATGGGTTTGATTGGCTCGTGCCGCTGATGACGATCAAGCAGAGTGTCTATGATTTTAAGCGCGCAATGCGAGGGTTATTATTCTGTCTCGGTCGTCGTGGTTCGTCCGGAAAGTAGTTACCGAATAGAAATTTGGATTTTATTTTCTTTTTTTCTTGCCTGTTTTGAAAGGCTCCGTATCCATGTCCAGAGCGTCAAAGGAGATTGTGATACAAGTGTGATTGTGGATTTCTCAGAAGTATTGTTTATCACGCAAGGAGGGAGAACAGGATGTAATAATGTACAGTACATAGTTACATACGTTTATTAGCGGGCTCTTAGACCGTAGTCACATCCATGGCAGTAGATATCAACAAATGAGAGGAGGAGAAACAACGTCCTGTTATCCTACGCTTTTCTTTTTGTTTCGCGGATTGAGATATCTATCTACCTTTTCCGTATTGACCAGATCCAACCGCCACTCAGCACGGCTCTTGTGAGTCTGCAGGCCCCAGCATCAGAGTTCGAATTCGAATTCCCTCTCTCCCGGTTAGCCCATGGAAATCATTACCTGAATACATGGAGATAGAAGCTAGTGCCGTGGCGTAGTGACCGGTGAGCATTTATAACGTGATGAATGGGGGATAAGAGCCGTCTGTTGATACATATGAGAATGAGTGAGGTATTTAGCGGGTTTGACGCTGATATACAACCCCGTCTTTGGATCTTGGGAAAAGTCGAAGTCATATAATGTGCCTGCGGTGGATAGAGAATTATACCAAATTGCCTTGCTCTAAAGCTTTCTGGATATTGCAAGAGGTTTTCAAATTGTCAATTGCAATCAACTGACATATATACTTCTCCATATGAACATGTATATTTCTCCTGAAAGGGCCAGGAAAGATAGCTGACTGCCTTGCGGGTGAGCTTATGTAGAAAACGGGAGCAGAAGCGGGAACATTTGAGTAGTGTGAATTATAAAAAATAAATATAAATAAATATAAATAAATAAATAAAAAAGGAGAATGGTACGCGGGGACGGTCGGTGAGTTGAACAGGGGGAAAGGCCCTCAAAACAAGATCGCACTTTTTGCTCTTCTACATTAAAGAAGATTATGGATGCATATAGGTATATCCGCACCTCGACTACCGCTCCTTGTTGATGGAGGTTGAACTTCCGTAAACAGGCTTGGTGCTCTCTCTGTATCCCCTGAGTTGCAACGGAGTACGGAGAGGTTCACTATTCACTATTCTCCATGGAGATAAGGCCGAGAGGGCTGGGAGCGGTCGGATAGAAGGATGGGTAGGCAAAGGGCACAGCAAAGGTAAAGAATAATAGAGTAAGTCTCCCCCTCCATGTAATGTACATGATGGAGGGAAAACGTGGATACTTTGGGGTTTTTTTTTGTGTTCGTCCGTGTTTTGTTTTCTTGTATTATATCGAAATAAGGAGAGGATATGCATAGCATACATGTGAGAAGAGATATCATACATAGATGTATTCGTTTTGAGGCACGCGGAAAAAAACAAGGCCCAAAAAGAACCGCCCGAACTCCGATCTATCCTAAATAACATTGCAAATATTCGTGAAAGGAAAAGCAACAGGGGTATACGACGATTATCGTATGCCACATACATACGCAAAGACGAGAACGCCTGAACCACTCTCCTCTCAATTTGAAAGCCAGTCCAAAAACTCCGGCACAAAGTAACTCACCACAATCCCCGCCCCGGCCCTCAAAATCCCTTCTGTACTCTCAATCGCCATCGCCTTCAAATCAAACACCCCCGCCTTCGCACCCGCATGGATCATGGCAAACTCCCCGCTCACTTGATACGCTGCCACGGGCATATCCTTGCCCAGCTCCTTCGCATCGCGGATGATGTCCAGGTAGCTGCTGGCGGGCTTTACCATGATGATATCCGCACCCTCGGCGATATCACGCTGGATGGCCCGGCGAGCAAGCCCGCGGCCACCTGGCGGCAATTGGTAGCATTTGCGATCCCCGAAGGACGGACAGGAGCCAGCAGCGTCGCGGAAGGGCCCGTACAGACACCCGCTAAACTTTGCGCTGTAGGACATCAAGAGCACACGGTGGGCAATGCCGGCTTCGATGAGCTTGATTTTTATGGCGCGCACGCGGCCGTCGTTCATGTCTGAGGGTGCGACGCAGTGGGCGCCCGCTTCGGCGTAGGCAAGGGCAACATCCGAGATGCGGTCGATGGAGAGGGCATTGTTGAGGGTGCCGTCTTCGCGGAGAATGCCGCAGTGGCCGTGGGAGGTGTATTCGCAGAGGCAGACGTCAGTGACGATGTAGAGGTCTGGGAAGCGGGAGCGGAGGAGCCGGATGGATTGGATGACGGGTCCGTTGGGGTCGTCTGCAGCGGTTCCAAGGGCATCTTTTGCATTGGAGGCTAAGGGGACGCCGAAGAGGATTACGGATCGAAGGCCTTTTTGAACAAGGGGCGTAAGGAATGGGATGAGACGGTTTATGCCGCGGCGGTGCTGGTTTGGAAGGGAGGGAATTGGTGTCTCTTCATCGGGATTGTCGGTAATGAAAAGAGGATAGATAAGCATGGACTAGTACAATACAAACATTCATGTCAGAAAACCTTGCATTCGTTCAATTATTTGGGAGAGCACGTTTCTCACCTTCGTCAATTGCCGTTCGGCCTGCCATGCCCTGTTGAGGGGATGGCTGTAGCCGGCATGAAGTTGGCTGGAGATGTCGCCCGATATGCTCACGCTGGTGGCCGCGGTGCTGACATATGAGCGTGCGCGACTCGTTTGGGAAGTCAATCCTTGAGAAGTCGACGTGCTACGATCATCGCGGTTCCCATCTCTAAATCCAATGTCTGAAACGAGGGAAGAGAACGACATGATGATGTTGTTGAGTCAGGGGAAAATGCGGCGAGCCTCTCTGATCTAAACAGTAAAAGTGGCGGCGCGTCCAGTGGAGAGAGGTGGCTTGACTGTAAGGCAACGACTGGGTGATTTTAAGACCGAGAACAGTTCATAGTCTGGCGTTCGGTATGCGAAGGGTCTTCAATGTTCGTGGATCTTTGAGGAGGCGAAGGGGGTTGGATATCTGTTGGCGGAGAATCTTTTCAGTGCCAAGACTGCTCTCCGACCAATCACAGACGCTGCTTACCAACTCGACCCTCTTGGTCCAATATAGGGCTGGAGAGAGTTTTGGTTAACATTGTGAAATCATTCTATTATATTATTATTTTCATAGTTCTGTTCGTACGTTTTGCTTATTTAAATAACTCGGTTTATTTGGACTCGCTTTCACAGGATAGATTGCTTCAAGAAACTACAGAATAGATGAATCCAAGCAGAAGGGCAAGAAGATACCACCTTAATACGTGTGGCATCATATATCATGGACTAGGTTATTATTATTACCTTTCTAATAGAAATATCTGAGAATATGGAGATTGGACGGCGTGGCAGGCCGCAGGCTACTATATGATTCTTCTAAGCTATATGTATTATATATAGAAACTGAAAAGATACAATGTCTGCGCCGTGCGAAGTCCGCTCTCCATAGCTTAAGTACCGAGCGACAGATATTCATTCGTACTCTGGATTGAACGATCGACGAGTAATTAGCATTGCAGTCACACACAAAATCGATATGACACATGCGATTAACGAGATAATGAAGCCATTCAGGGATCTAAAAAGTTGTCTCTCATCAAATAATACAGAGAGAGCAAGTGAAGGTTTTCTTCATTCCAAGGCCAAAGCCAAAAAAAAAAAGAAGACAAAACTTACTATATTCTGCACGTTAACTGTACACGAAAGCTGCAAAGCGCTCACCCTAGCCGTAAACTCTGGGTATCTTCGTCACCTATGAGGGATTGATGGGAAGAAAAGCTGATGATGGAAGCCTTGCAATATTACATTTAAATACTAGACGAACTCATGTGCAATCGACGAAACCGAATCTATCTAACCATTGGAAAGCCTGGCGGGAGAAAGGTCAAAGTGTGTCTAACGGCCAACGGCGGAGGATATAAATATACATGCTTACATAACCTAACCCGGCGCTGTTCAGGCTCTCCCCCACCCCAGCCTTAACCTCCATCACTGATCATGGTGATCAGTTGCCATACAGTCTATGCGGGTGTGTTCAATCAACAATGGCACAACTAACTATACAATTACTTTGATTCTCGTCGTGGAGCCTTGCCAATATACCTTGGCCCATTGCATTAGATGCAGCATGCATCACTATCTCACTGGGGAGGATTTGCTCTCCCCATATTCCAATTTCGTTAACTTGCATGGTCGATATAGGTCGACATTTCTGAGGATCAGAGAAGCATCTAGGAACTTGAATCCTATCGTGGTGCTTTCGCAGAGCCTTAGTCTGGTCTCTCCCCCCACCAGCTCAATGCTGGCGACGGATGGCGGAATTGTAAGCTTTAGGGGAAAAGCTGGAATTACACCTTATAGCTTGAGGCATATAAGAAGGGCTTCTTTCTCCCCTCTCGCTGAATCATACACTTCTCAAGCTCCACATTGAATGTTTCTAGATCTGGTTTTAAACGATCTTACTATTTCTTCTCCTTTCACTAAACCAAGCAAGAAATACGGGGGATGTCTCGCCACGCTGTACGATATAATGCCTTGCGGGGGGTAGAAGATGTTACGACTGAGCAACTCAAGGACAACCGCAGTAGCCCTTGATGAACTCGCCAATCTTCTCGTTGCCAGCGGTTTACACAGCCATGATGACATCCGCCTTCTGCACAAACACTTTGAGATCAACGATGGCGTTTAAACGAGTTGTCACCTGTGACGGAGTCAGCTGTAAGGTACCGACGCCAGACAATGGCGATAGTGTTCTCCTCTCCCTCCTCGGGTAATGAAAAGGTATGGACTCAAACAAACAAGCAGGAGACAGCGTTATATTCTGCAGCGACTTCCTAACTGACCAGAACGAGGCCATCATCACCTTACGAATTTGCATATGGGGCCCGCACTCCGCCCGAACTACCCCTGGGCCGAGTCTTCCTACAAAACTGGAATCCCTGTCCTCCACACCGGTAAGGTAACATGGGTGGTGCCCCTAGGCCTTGCTATCTAGGTCGGCGTGGAGGTAGCTAGGTTCGAAAAATATAATTTGGACGCTGGTTGGAGAAAGATTACTTGCGAGAAGGATGCTATCTCACCCGGCGATGCGGACGGCTACCTGGCCGCATTTTGGAGAATCAATGATCACGCCTTTGGTCTTATGAAACTGAAATAGTGTAGCGATTGTTCATCCCTGAGGCGTCATGGCAAATCATCTGTGTGCACTTGATGGGTGGGGTGCTGATGCTTGAATATGGCTTGAGGGGCTGGGATTCTTGCGGCAGGCCTACATGGAGAACTTTGATATATCGCCGAGTGGATATCTGGATGCTAGGGGTCAGGGGGCTTAGTGCTCAGTCATTCATTTTATTCCTTGGTTATTCCCTCATCAGTCTACTTGCATGAGTTTGTGTATTTTAATCATTCACTCAAGCATTGATTGTGTGTCCCTTGTTTATATCTCTTTATTATCTAGTGTAGTTTGAAAATTCTCCTCTGAGGCAATGTCACTCTCTGCACTCTTAAGAGAAGAGAAATAAGTATTCTTGCCTCAACTTCAGTTTCTTTTCTGATGCAGTTATTAGCTGAATAAAAAAAGGTCTCATTGGAGGCAATAATAAAGGAGAAATTTGAAAGACTTTTATATATTCAACTGCTTGGTTCTAAATGCTAAGTCTCTTTTATATATATGATTATTCACATCTGAATGCATTCAAGTAACAGGGACACTATATATGAAAGGTTCTTAAAGAACATTGATGTTGACATTTGAAGAAGTCATGAGGCAGCATGTTAGAGTTGTCCACCATTGTTTACTATATACCCATCCTAAAAAGGGGAATGAATAAATGAGTACTAGTTCATTGATTCAAAAATATCACAACTGAGCCTAGATGGCCATTATGTTGTTCAGAGTAAGCATACAGCAGTGCACATAAGAGGATTTGTATAACATATGTGTTAACACGTTAACATGTTAATACAGGCATTATTTGCCGTAGAGAAGAATATTGAGTGGAATTATTTTCCGATCTATTCAAATGAACCACCCCCCGGGGGGGGGGGATATTTCTCACCCCGCTATGAAACATATCATTCATTCGCCCCCCTCAGCTCGCCATGAGGGGCAGGCAAGGTAACGCACATTTGCTCAATGTAGCAAAATATGGCGTGGGGAGATAAAAAAGAGAGTATATCCCCCTCTCATTCACAGCTGCACATCATTATTCAACAACCTCACCTCCTCCCCCGGCTTAAATGCCGGCAGGCCAATATACGGACACCCATCGCACCGGAATGCATCGCCCAGCGAGCAATTCCCGCAGCTGCCCACTTTCCCCTGCACGGTAAAGTCTACCTCCGCCAGCTCGCTCGAGCCCAGCTTCATCGTCGGCGCCATGATAGTCTCCAGCGCCTTGTCGGCGGTGGCGCGCTTGGCTTTGTCTTCTGCTTCGAGCTTTTGGGAGAGGCCGCAGGAGCAGTCTTTGCAGGCTCGTCGGCGTTTTCCGGGTTTGGGGCGGCATTCAGGGGCTGTGTGGTGGGTGGTGTGGGGGTTAGTTTGATGGAATAGTGGTGTGTCGTGGTGGTTGGTTGTGAAATGGGAATGGGAATGGGAATGGGAATGGAAAGGAATGGACTATTCAAACTCACGTTGGACGATTGGTCTTCCCATGTCATCTTCGCCAAGCAGTTCGTCTTCGTCGATTAGCTCGTCATCGGAACCCTGGGGATCCTCTTCCATCGGCACGCCGTAGTCGTCGCTGAAATCTATAAATCCGACTCCGGAGGGAGCTGGGTTTGTTTTTGGGGTCGTGGTCGTGGTCGTTGTAGCTGTAGCTGTAGCTGTGGACGTGGATGCGTTTACACCATTTGAAGACGGTGCGTTCACCTTCCCATTCGTAACATCATTCCCTGACGGATGGCGCCTCTCCTTCTCCTTCTTCCTCCTCCCCAGCTTCAGCGGAACAGCCTGCTGCGCCGCGACATCAGGCTTCAGCAGCTCCCCGTTATCATCAAATACTAACCCCGCCAATATCGCCTCGTTCCTGAATGTCAGCTCATCATTATCATTATCATCATCACTATTATTCCCACTGCTCCGTAATCCCCACGCCTTATTATCCTGACTCCTCAGCTTCCCCGCGGGCTTCAGGCTGTGAACAACCTGCTGGATAATGTCTCGGGTGACGAGGCTGTACGGTTCCGCGAGCGTGTTGTCTGCGCCGGTGAGGAGCAGGACGATGTCGTAGGTGGATGCGGGGAGGGAGACGAGGCCGTGGACGAGCCGGTCGAGCATCTGCAGGTCTGTCCTGTCCCGTGTATGCGATCCGAGGATCGCGTTTAGCTTTTCGGGATGCGAGGAGAGGGAGGGTGGCGAGAGGAGGAGGACTCGTCCCGTGGACGCCATGATTTTTTTTCTGTTTCTGATTTCTGAACGGCGGGGGCCGCTATGAAAATGTGATGGGAGGGAAGAATGCAAGGAGTTTCTCTCTCTCTCTCTCTCTCTCTCTCTCTCTCTCTTTCTCTCTCTCGCTCTCTGTCTTCTTGCTTTTCTTCACTGTCGTGGTTTTGAGTTTTGTTGATGTTGCGGGGAGGTTACTATTAAATATAGTAATTTATCTATTATTTGTCAGAAAAGAAATAAAAAAATAATAGTAGTAGTAATCATAGTAATACTAACTAACCATGAAGAGTTTTTTACATAACAGGAATTTCTATTCGCCCCTCTCAATCCCGCGCCTCTCGCCCACAGATTGATGGCGCCATTGGCGGGGTTACCTGTACAGTACCTGGATTCCGGCATTGCCACACGCGCGGAATTAAGTACTCCCAGGTATGTAGGTGGAACTCGGCACCTCCTACATGTTAATTATTGAATTGTTTTAAAAAAAAACTCGACCTGTTCCCTGCTCTGACGACGAGTAGATTATTTCCGGTTGGGTTTACTTTATATAGGGTAGGTATATACTCTATTGTGTGCTACATTAAGTCGTTCACACTCTTCTGCGGCCTCTAACTACTGTTCTGCTAGTCAAGCTCATTAACTCCGCTACTCTCCTTTCAACCAAAGAGAGAATAATCAAAATGTCAACTGTATATATTTATCTACGTGCATCCGCTCTAAAACGAGAACAAATTGGTTAGAATCAGGATAGTGGATAACACCCAATAACAGTTGCAGGCTCGCAGACATCGCAGAGAGACAGCGGTCAAGCTAGCTACAATAATCTGCAAACAGCCATGCTCCAAGTAATTTGATATCTGCCATATCCCATTGGCCCAGGCGCCAACTGGAAAGGATATCCGGCAACGATCGAGGCGCCTGCAGTGACAAATAATCGCTCGGTGGAACCACGCATCTGGATAGCGCATTCTTCATTCATACGAATCAAACTTCATGCAAAGCACATAGGCTAAGAAGAGGCATCAAGTGTGGCATTTGGCCAATTACCCAAGACTAGCCTATCGCTGCTGGACATAAAGGAGCTTCTCCCTACCGGAGGATGCTATGATCTTCCGCCTCCCCTCCTACGCTCCTGGCCATCCGATGACCCCACTAGATTTTCAACGACGAGGCTGAATCTACCCAAAACTATCGAGCTGAAAGCCCATTTAGCTAATGATATTTGCTGGGTGAAGCTAATATTCTTCTTAGAAGATCTTATTTGACCTCTCCTACCCCTGCGCTGTTGGGCCCGGAACATTTTTTAATAAAGGAAAGGAAGAAACTGGAAAAGAAAATGGCCGAGCTTTTCATCGCCATCTATCAGCCCCGGAACCAGATCTTGGGAACCTATCACTGGGCCCTGTATCTCCAAATTAGCTCAACAGAGCACATCATATTCCAAATCGTCGGTGAGCCGTGCGACTTCAAATACGACGAGCGCTCTGAGCCTCTTGAAGATAGTACCCACCATATAGAGAACATCCGAGTCGCGGAGATCGATCATGTTGATCACTTTTGCCAACTAGTCAGGGACCAAAAGATCGAGAATGAAATGTACCACTGGGGTTGCCAGCAGTGGGTCCTGGATGTGTTGGAGAGCTTGGTTGAAGATGATCTTCTTACTGACTATGACCATGATGAGGCTAAGCTCAAGCTGGACCCGCTGTTTGGAGTCCGGGTTGAGGATGAGTACGAGGCCTAGACGGCGAGTGTTGTGCTGAAAGCCTCCAACAAATACGAGCGGAGGGTCTGAGTTGAGGAGTATCTTCGGAGAGATCAAGGGTGAATGGGCAATAGGAGGGGGGGCGATAAGAAATGGTCAGGTGGGGTGTCATAGAAGTTAAGTTCTTTTTAGGTGCAGGAGTAAGAAATGTTGTCAGTTATGCCACACAATTGTCAATCAAGCAACCAATAACATATCTTCAAACTATTTCCCCATCCCCTTCAGAGGCAGGAAGAAGGGCCAATCACCCAAGCGTATTGAGTGAACAGTGTTAAGAGACTTGACAAACTCCCAGTACTCTGGATATGCACCGCCAACCTCCCAGTCTATCAGGCCAGTTATCCGAATCCCTCCTCTTTCCTCATCATTAATAGCCAGGATATTGCGAGGGTGCAGGTCACCATGAGTAAGGATCAACACGTTGATTCTCAGGAAGCATGGGTCTGATGAACTCAACATATGGTTCCGTGCTAGATCGGCTATTCCCAGAGAGAAGCAACTCTTGCGCTTCCACATTCTGCAGTCAATGCACTGTGGTGGATTGCCACCACCCAGATATTTAGATGGTAAAGGTAGTGACCGGAGATTCTCAAATCTGGCATCCAATTGGTCTTGGATAGAGAATCTATCAGTACTTGAGAGATCTGGCCAAAGTTTGTCCAGGTAACGGCCCTCAATGGGGTTCATGAATGCATAGACCTTTCCGCCAAGACAGAGCATGTCAAGAGGCTGGGGAACTGGAATGTCCGCAGCATGCTTTCGGATTGGGGCAGTTATGTTTGTATCAGTTAAAGATATATTAGATCCAAGCCTCACAATGAGATGTTCATCAAGCTGCACCAAAGCACCTTTCCCGCTCTTCAAGGCGCCGTTTAAGGTAGAGTAGATGCCATGGCCAGTTAGCTTGCACCCTTGGTAAGAGTACTGCTGCAAAAGTGCAATGACTTCAGGCGCCAGTGGTTGTAGGATCTCTGGCTGACCTTGTGGAATTGCTAACATATGTTGATAAGGGGGTTGTTTCTGAGGAGTGCTTCCACGACCTTCGAAATTAGGTTAGTTCTTGGGTGGGTGGTGACCTTAATGGGAGAAAGAATGTACGGGCTGGCAAGAGAAGGAACCACAGAGCATCGTACATTCTTGACTCCTGAGACTACGAGTCTGCAACAGTCTGCGCCTCCTTGAAGGATAGAGGTGGCCCCCCACCTTGTAAACTGTGTGCTGAGATTTGCCCATTGAGCAGTGTTCTGAAACTCGCGTTGGACATTGGTTATCGCAGATTCGTTTAAGGCCACCAGAGCCTTCCGATTATCCCCATCATCGTCACCATCCGTCTTGTTGTTGTGCGAGGCGGTCTCTTCTGACCTAGGTTTGGAGTTGTTTTTGACTGCTGGGTGCGATGAAAGAGACGAGCATGATGCTGGCGCCCAGCACGGAGCTCAGGTCCGTTGCCCAGTTCAGAATCCTGGTGGGCATGGTTTCCGGGAACCTATTGCAGGCGGTGCATCTGCCTTGAGCAAGTGGTTTTTAGTTTCCAGTGCGTGTTTACTGTGCTGCGTAGAAGAACTTGGCATAGAAAATCCGTTCGAGCTACTCCCGTACTGTAAAAGTTACTGTGTACTTCAACGTGGCTTGATTGATTGTGGCTAGGTAGCTAGCCCGCTTGTCTAACTGCTTCTAGTTAGTGGCAGCAGCAGCAACTTAAAGTGGAGACTCTGGAGAGCAACCCGGGGTCCAACCATTGCCATTGCCAAGCCAAGCAACCCCACCGATGGTCAGGTGCAACTCTCCCAAGAAGCAAGGGGGTAGCGTGCGACACAGGTACGTCACAAGAGGTACATTACATGTACATGTACAAGAGGGTATACATTGTTTTTAGAGAGCAGAAGCCGACCAGGATAGGCAGTGGACTGTGTAGGCACTTACAATTAATTTGCCTCTTAGTTTAATCAAGGGTGTTTCAAATATGTTTAGGGTAGGAGTCCCGGAATTCGGTCCTTTCCACCTCACCTGGGCGGCAAAGCGCATTATTTATGAGTCGTAAGATGCCGGCCCAGACCCGACGAAACATGGAAAGCAAACATTCAATAATAATAATTGGAAGGGTATAGCCACTGTTCCTGGGGGTCATGTGCTGATGGCGTTTATTATGACCTGTCGGCTGTAACGCCATTACATCATATGTGTTTGCAAGCACCCCCTCCCCTTCCGCTCGCCTTTGAGATACCTATAATAAGTACAGTGCATGGCATGTACATGTACCTGCGATTAATGCTCTCAAACAATCTCCTCCTTACCCATCGGCCAAACAGCTATTAATTATTACGTGCTAGTTAACTACCGTAGATCGAACCTCTGGGAACCTAACTTCTGCTAGACTCAGCTCTCAACCACTCCCTCTTCTCTTCTTCTCCTCCTCTCCTCCCACAGCTACCTCAGGTGCCTAATCTCCTCCTTGTTCATCCATCTCTCTCTGCATTGATCTTCCAAACTCCCCCTCTATCTTGATCCATCGTCGCTCTGCAACGATTTTATTCACATTCTCATCTACGAAATTTGTTTCTTTGAAAGCAGAGTGAAGATAGTCACCACTGTCGCTCACTATAAATCCTCCTCTTCTTAAACTTCTCTCTACCTATCCTTGCTACTCTTTGAGGCCTACTTTTTCATCCACTGCTTTGTTCCATTTCAACAACCGACCTTCCATTCCCATCACTGCAGTCCTTGTCTGCTTCAAGAAAGCCTTGTCGTTTGCAATTCATTGATTTCCATCCTCCACAAGTAAGTCTGCCAATGTTATTCATTGCTTTACCGGAATCATTACGGGTTCTCCATTCATCCGCCTTTTAGCTCAACCTGTCATCCCCAACAGCATATATCTATCCTCTTTCTATACCCAACCCTGGTGCAATTGGGGGGGCTGTCAGTTGCTAACCCAAGCGTACTTCTTCACCAGTGACCCGCTCTCACAAGCTCAATGACCGTGACCATGCTGGCATAGCTGATGGCACCGCTGCTCCCGAAGCACATCTACCCCGCTACTTCGCTAAACACGGCCATATTGATGCCGACCCGAAGAAGACCAAGAAGGATGGTGGCGGGAAGGGCAATTGGTGGGTTTGTGTTTGTTTTGAGAGCTCACCTTCCAAATCAAACCCACTTCTGAAACCCCTCCCATCCTCTCATTGCCGTAGATTATGAAGCAAAAACTGTTTCCAACCCTGCTAACACCAAAGTCTCACAGGGGCCGTTCTGGAGAAGAAGTGCATGACTACGGGTATACCTTTACCAACGCCAGACGTCGCTCCAACAGTAGCACCCAGGGCTTGGCTGAGTTCAAGACCAAGTTCGAAACCGTTGAGCCGGACCCGGTCTTCGAGGAGGAAATACATGGCCCTCTCCATGAGGATATCAACGGCGTGGATGGAATTGGGGTCAAGAGCAACGAAAGTAGCACCAGTGGCACCAGCGAGGCGGAGATTGAGGTGAAGAAGGCTTAGGTTTTTGGTCGAATCCTTGTCTTCCTCCACCCCCTCCCCTCCTGTTTCTTCTCCTTGACCTCTCTCTCATGTTTCTTCAAAGGGTTTAGCTTTCTTTTTTCCTCTCTTTGCGTTATGTGGAGTTCTGCCGGCCGGTTGTTATTCTTTTGATTGTTGTCATCTCTTTTATTTTTTGTCTTGAGATAGCTTGATGCCCCGAAGTGCAGACATTATCATCTGCTCTGATGCGACGGGTAGGGCTCTTTACTTTGCCATCATCTTTTTCCATGTATGCGCACTATCTGATGAAAGACATGTGAAATTGACAGATAGCGCGGAATCAGATATCGGGTATTTAAAATAACTATATCCCAATATAACTTACTATGAAATATAGATACTATTTATATCCGCGCCGATGGACAGGGATGGGGATCTACATTCGTAGTGATGTGCGGCTTCTCTTGTAAAATCCTTGTTCTTGGTTATCTTGAGTAGTTAGTGTTTGTTTTAGGAGACTTTTATGTTATCTTGCTAGCCATTCCGTTAACACCTTAGCTAGATATCCCGGTTATTGAAGACGGTCTGAATTTCATTCTCTGAGAATCATATTGTTTCAGCTTCAAAAGACACTGGAGAGCACTATATAATATATATATATATATATAAAAAGCGGATTCATTTCCCCATTTTCTGGCATCCATTGCACGCGATCAGATGCAACATACACAAGCGGTGGGAATATCAACTTCTGTCATTCACTCATTCGTTCATTCGTTCATTTTGAAAAGCCAATCCATGACCGGTATCGTCTTCTCCAGGAACAATATTCAATATAAGACCCCAATCAACACATTCCATTCTGCTCTTGACCTCGATTCAAAGTGCCGATTTTCGGATTTCAAATGACCTGTGATCAGTAGCAGTATTTTTCGCCCCACGGAACAAGAATATATTCATGCCCACTCTGATAAATCGCCGAGTGGTTCACTGTCAGTCTCAACGTACAGAGTAACCGTACATGCGTATCTTCGGATTTATGATGACTTCTAGGGATGACAAAATTCACATGACAAAAGTCATGTGATATCATGTGACCCGCGCAAAAACCATGGAGCCAAACAAGTTGCTCAGCGAAGCTTCAAATAAAGTAAACAGAAACCTTGAAATGCAGGCGGCTTGTTTGATGCCTGAACTTTCAGAGCCTGGCTCTCTCTGACACCAACCTACCTCAACTGGCCAACAGCTGGAACGAAACAGCTACCAGCTTTTGGTTTTCCTTTACCCTGTTAACCCATCGCGACCTCTGTCCATTACGTCCACTATCTCTCCACCCTCGTCATGTTCTCAAGTAATGTCGCTGCCCACACCTCTGTCGCTATTTTGCGAAACCCCCGTCGACGGCAGAGAAACACCGCAGACGAGTCGGTGAAGCCGCCCAAAGCGAAACGACAACGATCGACGTTACGACAGAATGTCAGGGAGTCTGAGTCTGCTGTGGCTAAAAATCATGGTGAAGAACAATCGCTGCAAAATGGAGAGTCCTTGCCAGAGGAGGTACCTCCAAGTCGGCCGGTGATTATGAATGAGCTCGCGCTTAGAGGACCTAGGAAACAGGACAAACGTGGAGATCATGCGGATGGGACCATTACTCTTGTAAGAGACCTTTTTTATTATTATTTTGACTTTTTGTTTCTTTCATGATGCAGTTTTACGGAAGATTACAGGTTGCTGAAATTAATTTTTTTTTTCTTTGTTTTTGCCGGTTTCATAGTCTAGCAATGATTTTTACAATGTTGCGCATTTACCTTCGGTACCTGAGCAGATCAAGGACAACCCGGGAGGTAAGTTGAGCTTTTTGAGAGCACGCCTTGAGCAACTATATTCTGACGGGAAGCATCTCTCTAGCGCCATTGAGATACACAATTAGCCCCTCGAATGGATATTGCCTTGCCCTTTCGCAACATGAAGCTATCGTATGGCCGTACACCACCCCTCCGCAGTCCCTCACTCCAAGCACGGTACTTCATTTTGTTATCCCGAGCCCAGCGAGGAACTCCGATGACCCCCTGCCATTGGGGACATTTATATCCAAATCTGCGGAAGGCAACCCAGGGCTGATAGTTGTCGTTCCATCAACGGGCAAAATTACTCTTTGGGAAACAGTTTCGAATGCTGCCATTCTCGGGCTAATGAAGCAACGACAAAACGGAATCCAGGGGGAAATACCTGGTATGTTATCTGGAGAGATGGCTACGGAGATCATTAACGCGGAACCTTCGGGGATTATCATTGCATTGTCTACTGGCCGCCTCGCCCATGTGTCTATTCGTGATTCACATGGAAAACCTGGAATTTCGGTTCAGGTACTCCGTGGAACCTCGCGGGGAGGGGGTGGTGGTTTCTTCGGCGGACTTAGAAGCGTGCTCTCTGGAAGCTCGTGGAAAAGAAAAATCGCGGCTGTCAAGGCGGGCATGTCGTCCCAGCGTGGCCAGCGCGATATCATAATAGCCACCAGCGCTGGGGAGTTTGAGTTATGGGATATCCATTGGAATAATGGGAACTCTCTAAAAACGCAGGTGGATGCGAAGCAACACATACTACAAGCTCTGAGACGCACGGTGGATATCTCTGAAGATGATGCCCAAAATGCTTTCCAGGTTTATGATTTTGCGTTCGCCAATGGTGACTCCAGTAACTACGCTGCTGGGAATGTTGATGGCGCCATCTCACTCTGGGCGCTTGTCGGAGTATGTGAAAACTCGTCCCTGTCGTACTTTGTTGTCGGCTTGAGGATTGCGGGTTCCACAGCGACTGCTGATGTTGTTAACCCCATTCAACTCCGAAATCACTCTGTGGATTCAGGCACCCCCTGGGCGCCACATTTATATGTCCCTAAACCTGGATGCCGGGCGTTTGTAATCTTCGACAAGGGGATGATTATCCTATCCCTCGATCCGTTTGTTGACCCGGCATCGGCCCAGCTCTTAGGAGAGACCCACGCTACGCTTTCGAGCTTCCAGGATTACATCCGGCTCAAGGAAGGACATGAATATGTCGTCCAGGGGTGTGGCCCTGAGGACTCCGATGCCGACCATGAATATCCGTCATGTATACTCATGATTCGCAACTTTGGTCTAGTTCGAGTATCTGCTTTTCCTACACCATACTCTGATAATGTCAATGGGGCAAAGATTACTGCTAAATCGCGACTCGAGCAGGCCGTATTCTACGGCAGCATGAAATCGAACCCTCTTGATTTTGTTGGCTATGATGAGCTTCGTTCTAGTCCGGCTGAACTTGAACATGCGGCATTACAAATAAGCGACGAAATTGTCCGGTCTAGCTCGAAATTCATTCCGACCACCATCCCATCCCTGGAACAGCAGATGAAGACGCGGGCTACTGCGCTTCATGACTTAGCCGTTTACATAAAGCGATTCCATGTGCATATCTCTCATCTGACGAGGTGGAAGCTCTTGTGGGCTGCAGAAAAAATGGCAGCCCAGCGAGCTATATGGAGGGTACAACAGAGGAACGAGGAGAACACCACCAGCAATCGAACGCATCTCGACTTCATTCTTTCGAAGATGGGGGACAATCATAAAACGAAAATTGAGCCGGGAAGTGGTGAAACTGACCTTGTCCGGCATTGGTTCATTCATGATACGTGGCGAATGGAATATGTCATTCCGTGGTTTTTGAACGGCCTTCGAAGAGACGAGAGCAACACCTCGCGTGCAGTTGACAGGCAATTTGCAGAGCGGGTTTGCGAGGCTTGTGATCTGTCGCTGGCTGCGCTGGAAACAGCCTTCCAATTTCGAGAGGACAATGCTGTTCTATATGGAGTAGGCGACGAATTTGCCGATGACGATGCAGCCATCGTGGCACAGTATAGTGATTTGCCGGAGTTTTGGACATCAACCCAAATCAATTATTCAGAAACAGAACAGCTTTTGGACCTGGAACTCAACATCTGTCGACGCCGGCCCGCTACAACTGCAGCTACCGGATCGGATTCAACGGCTACACGAACCGCTAATGTTCTTGACACGATCAAGGAAAACATACCTAGACAGTTCAACGCGTTTGCATTGCTACACAAAGAGCGAACTATGTGGTGTGCAGCGCAGAATGACACAGATATTCAGGCTAGTGGGAAAATGCTTGAGAAATCGCACGTGGAAAATCGCAAACCACAATTGTTTAAACTGGCTGCGATTGGCTTGCTTGAAGACGCAATTACCCTTGCGGAATCATTCAGAGATATGGATGCCTTGGTGGAACTTATGGTCGACCTGCACGAGCAAATAAAAGAACAGAGGCCACCGCGACGGCCGGAAGATGAGGGACCGGTGCTCGATGAAGGCACTAAAATCTGGAAACGCAGAATTGACAACTATTTCGAACGATTTGGTGAAGCTTGGGCTGATGCCTTCTTCACTAGACACATCACCGTCGGTCAGCCGGAAACTCTGCTCATCATGCAGGAGTACCAAGGAGCTGTAACTAAATTCCTACGGAGCCACCCAGCCTATTCAAAATTGACCTGGATCAATGATATTGTTGGGGAGCGTGATTATAGCACTGCGTGTAATACCTTGCAGCGCTTAGCGATTGAACGGGAAACCGACCTATGGAGCAAGCGTGTCGAGATATCCCTTGCTAAATTAACCAAGCTAGCCGAGTTCGAAAAAGCCGGTTCCGCACCGGCAGACTTGCAAGAGGCTCTAGGGCCGTTCGACCAGCTTACAGAAGTCTGTAACATCCAGGAATTGATCTACGACCATGTACTCCCTGCTCTACACGGCGCTATCGATGAGGGTGCGGCCCTCCAACTAGCCATCGAACAGTTTGGAAATAACGTCGTGCGCGGCAAGCCAGCGCTCCGCGCTCTTCTACAACGTTGCCTTGCCAAACTCGTTGCCAGATCGCCCATGGAGCCGGAGGAGCTCATAAATTTGCTCACGCTAATGGATCCCGTTCAGTTCCTTGAAGGTGGAGAAGAGGAAGATAGTATTGGCGGGCATGAATTTTTGTTTGCGCTCACGGTTTTGAAGTTGGGTAATTTCCATCACCTGGACCAGCAGGGACACGAGTATCGCGAGAATTTGGAGATGCTCATCTGGCGCCGCTGCATGATTCGTGATGATTGGGAAGCCATCAACCGGACGGATAAGAAGGGGGATAGAGAGGTTGAGTCTAATGTTCGATCGACGGCGTTGGCGGAGACGATGAGGCAACTTGCTGAAGGTAGGATTCCTTTTTTCTCCCCTTTTCCCATTTTCCTCTGCGCCTCGTCTTTGCACCTACTGCATCTTTCTACTTATCATGACCCCTTTTTAAAACTAACGCCCATTTGCCTGAAACAACAGAACTCGGTGAGGATGTTCGCCTGACCCGCCAATCGTTCACGCCCTCTCGCATCCTTGAAACAAACATCCTCCCTGCAAGATCCCATGCGGTCCTGCCGCCTGACCAGCAGATTAGCCTCGTCCAGGAGCTAGATGCAGAGGCTGATCTGCTACGCACGTACTTCGAGAAGGGGAAGCTTGATGAGTGGTTCTCATGGATTATTAGTGAGACAAGAGGACGGTTTTCGACTCCCGTTCGTGAAGAAAGTAGTGGTGCTGTTGAGGGGTTGTGATGATACTTCTTTTACTTTTTTCTGTTTTTTTTATTCCGTTCATTCATTGGCCGTTTCCTTCTCCTCTGTGTACCCCCTCCGTTGTATTAATTCTACATATAACTGCTATTTCTATTTTCTTGTGTGCTGGTTAGCTGGGGTGCATTCCGTTTACTTTGCTCCATCTTTCTCGTTTGAAATTCGCTTGTGGAATGTATGTAGGATAGGGTTGGGTTGTCAAGTCAACGGAATGAAAAAGACTTCGCCCCCTATGGTTCCCTTTTCGCTAGTGTTTCAAGGCCTGCTATCATCTTTTCTTCATATGATTTTGTACATATTGTCGGAACCGCTTGCCTGCGTTGAACTGGTACATAACTGCTCTTGTACTGCTGTGCACTACATGATCCAAGACATCAATCAATATGGCGTCGGTGATCATGCCTACAACGTTACGAACATATGTTCATTTTATCAAACGCTCGCGAAACCAATCATCTGGAAAACATCAGGAACGAGATAAAAGTCATTTGATTCATCAAATCATTCAGGTGGCATTTGCTAAATTGTAACAAGAATGAATGTAGAAGGGGAAAAAAAAAATCTATCTGTTCTGTCTAGGAACTCGACCCTTGGGAATAGCTAAACAGGCATGAGGGAGAATCTATAGCCTTCTGAAAAAGTAGACATACGCAAACTGCTTCATCTCCTCTACGTCGCTCGCCTCGACGACCTTCTCATCATTGAATAAGACCCACTGTGGCGTCTCCGACCCGGGGAGTAGCTTTCGTACGAATGCGACGTAGTGCCTGCGATTTTTAACTTGTTAGTAAACTATAACATGTATTAAACCAATTACGAGATGGAAAAACAGTATGATATACTCACCCGGCATGAACTGAGGCCCCCTTATGACAGATGATGGACTGTAACTGGAATTCAGCCGGTAGCTCCGTGGAGCCGGGAGGTTCTCTGGCGCTGCCAGTATCTGTATCTCCCGGGGATTCCTCCACAGCTCCTGTGTCATCGGGATGGCTGAAAACCCACTCCACCGCTCTAATAACATCCCCATCTGTTTCTCTCAGAGCCTTACGGGCCTTGGCGGCGTCGATTCCCATTTCGTTGAGCTGGGCGATTTTGTCTGGATCATCCATTGATTGGTCATTTGACGTGGTATTGCCTGTTGTAAGCTCAACAGGCACGTCAATATCCGGATCCTCCATGTGGGCAATTAGCCAATTCATCGCGGCCTCTACGTCGGCGTTTCCGGTTGCGTGAAGGGCTTTCTTGCACCTAACTTCTGGGAATCCCATCGTTAAAAGCTGATCAAGTGCATTCTGGTTTGGAACAAACGCCGTGGTTTGGGAGGTGGATGAATCCTCTGGTAATAGTTCTTCGCCTTCCTGAAGCCCAGAGGACATGTAGGCACTCATGTCAAAAGGCTTATCATCAACCTCAACAGGAATATTAAGCTTTGTTGGCACCCAGTTAACGAGGCTAAAGCGGCGAGCGTTAATGGCTAAATTCCTTGGGACAGTCTTAAAACGCGAACGTTTGAGGAAGCCTTCCTTGCTACCACAGGAGGCACAGGTCAGTTCAACTCTCTCGTCTGCAGTAAAAATGTCCAAACACTCCCTCAGAGTCACGGTTTCGAATTCTGGTGAATCAGGTGAGCTTTGAGATCCAGCTGCGGTTGTATTGTTATTGTCTTGCTTTATACGACGTGCCGGAACAGGGACCGAAATATTATCCTGCTCGTCTATCGTATATCGGACCTTCTTGCACGCTAGGCATTGTAGGCGCTGTTCTAGCGCAAACCGAAATGAGCCCACAGGATCTTGAAGGCCGTCTATGTGTTTTGAACGCGTAATGAGTTTGAAGAGGTGGATAAGAAACTCGAATGAATCTTGCTGACGCATGGTTGAGAATTCCTCGTGACCACGACCAACCAAATGTTTGAACATCGAAGGAGCAAGGCCTTTTTGATATACAACGTCGGGCGAATCAGCGCAAATAGCTGCGTCTGGATCAGGAAATGCGTAACGGCCAGAGTGTATACCGTCGCTGAGTTTTCGTAATTGAGTTTCAAGATCTTCTGCTGGCGACGATACGCGCGGCGGTTCGGCCATGGGTTGGGAGTATCGCTCTTCGAATTCGGGTAATGAGAAGAGGCACTGTAAAGCGCTGGAAATATAGCAGCTGTTTCCCAAATTCTTGAGTCCCGTAAGTCCCTTGCCAAAAAGGGGCTTCGATTCATGCCCGTCCTGACCAGTCATTGAAAAGTCCCATTTAAGGTTTTGTTCAATTTGCATTTCCACGAGACTTTGCTCGGTTTTTTCGCGATCAGCGATATTAATGTTCCAGTGTTTTAGATGGGCAGCAAGGTCAGGATCGATTATTTCGTCGTTGCATTTGTAGCAGAAAACGTCCGCAGAGCCCTCAGGCGTAATGGAACCAAGTTTAACGGCGACCCCATGGGAAGAAGCATCTGCATGAGCGAGGCCATGAGAATTGCCACCTACGCCGCCGAACTGACTTCGGCCGCATCCCAAATTACCACATTCGAGGCACAACCAGAGGTTCTCCTTTAAGTCGCACGAGGAACATTTAGATAAATCTATGGAAGAAAGTTGAGTTTGGGGGCACCTAATATACTCTTCCTTGCCCGGGGGAAAACATACCTTTGGACATCGCCTGGTTCGAATGATCCTGAACGAGGGACAATATATGCTGGCAAGGTTTGTATTCCTGCTCCCAAGCCTTGACTTCCTCCTTCCGTGAAAATGTGACAGCTTTCAATACACCATCGACAACCGCGGAGAGATTTCCAGTTGATTTATCGATATCATTGGCTTGGCAAGCGTGACAGTTAACTCTTGTAGTAGTGTCATAGCGATCTTCTTCTCTTTCTGCAGCGATGGCTAACTTCGACATCTTGGGAGGAGGCTCATCTCGCTATATTAAATAATATTAGCATGGTTAGAAGAAGCTAACATTAACGAACTGATTAAAAAAGCAACAGAACGGATAGAGAATGAGACAAGAAGATCTAACCTGCACGGCTTTCCTTGTCCTCCTTATATTCAACACCAGCGGATGTCCTGAGCGCCGATGGTGAATGCTGGAGTGGTTTCTGTCCCCCGCACACCCACCGTTGAAACAGAAAAGACAGACATCTAGACCAGAAGGGTCATCCTTATTTTATCGTTAGAATCTCCTAGAGTAAAATATGGCCGGGATAAGGGCAGGCGTACTATTGAGTCAAAGCACTGCGTGCAATCCTCTCGATAGACAGGTTGGTTAACCCGCGGGGTACGGAGCTCTATACAATGGCTGTTAGGAGCAACAAAAGTATAACAACAGAGGATAAAAAGGCGAACTAACCCGGAGAATCAATATGAACGCAAGCCATGATGTGGTCACTTCAAAATGAGAGCTTTGGCTTGCTTCAGGGTTGAAGAGTATTTGTAAATCACAAAGGTGAGCTATATTTCATACTAGCTCCCGGCAGATGAGGTCAGTGGCATTATGTAATTGGCTCTGGGCATGTGACTAGTCCGCTAGGCTCCAAGTAGTTAGATCGTGGCTCACCCCGCCATCCACCCGCGCATCCTCTTTACGCGTGTTCAGTCGACGCGACTTCAATCTATCCTCAACCCCTCGTCGACATCGAAGAAAAGTGAACAAGCGCCCAAGAACATTTTTTTCGTCTACCCCAGTTACCCACTGTTGACTCTTGATATTGGTTATTACCTCGATACCCAGTGTTGAAGATTTGCTTTCTGAAGCAATAATGGCAGACCCTACGTCGGAGATCACAATGGGGGCGCTTAGGTATTTACCTCACTCAAGCTCACGCGAGTATGGGAGGATTATTAAACTGACAGGGTTCCAGTGCGATTTTTGATGACTCAAGACCCAAGGTTGCTGAGCCTATCCTCCAATGTCTTCAAGTCAAGCCTTTGCCTGCTCAGCCAAACAGCCCCGAAAGGTTCAGAGCCGTTTTCAGTGACATTACAAACTATATACAAACAATGCTTGCAACCCGTATGCTTGGGCCCCAACCGCTGATGACTATCGAACGTTCTTTTTATTAACTTGGATGTGATAGAGGCCAACCATTACGTTACGAGTGGGCAATTAGTTCGCGGCTGCTTTGTTCGATTGAAGTCATTCCAAGCCAACATGGTGAAAGGGAAAAGGTGAGCATTTCTCTTAGTCATATGGTATAGTTAAAGCATCAAAATCGGAACCTGGCTTACCACGAATCTTTGCTGCAGAATTCTAATTATCCTCGATCTCGAAGTGTTGGAGAGATTGGGTATATGCGAGAAGAAGATCGGTGAACCTCAGCCGCTTGACGCAAAGCAAGAAGAGCAGGACAAAGCTCTTCCGACGACGATTTCTAGCAATGGATTCTATGGCTCCCGTGGGCCTCAGCAGCAAGCGCCTCAACAGCCAGCACAGCGATCTTCGTCGTCCGCCGGCGCCCATGCCAATATATATCCCATCGAAGCACTCTCTCCGTATTCCCATAAATGGACGATAAAGGCACGGTGTACGAACAAATCGGCAATCAAAACGTGGCACAATAAAAATGGAGAGGGCAAACTTTTCAGCGTCAACCTTTTGGATGATAGCGGAGAAATTCGTGCCACCGCTTTCAAGGACCAGTGCGACTCATTGTATGGCGTTTTTGAGGAAGGCTCTGTGTATTACATATCGAGCCCATGTCGTGTTCAAATAGCCAAAAAAGCGTTCAACAACCTCAACAACGAATATGAGCTTACTTTCGAGAAGGATACGGTCGTTGAAAAGGTCAGTCACACGTCATTCTCTGAATCGCTAAAACGGAAATAGATTTCTAACGAACATGAATTCAGGCTGAAGAGCAAAATGATGTTCCTCAAATTCGATTCAACTTCACCAATATTGCTAATTTGCAATCAGTAGAAGCAGGCACCACAATCGACGTGATTGGTGTGTTGAAAGACGTTGGAGAAACCTCTCAAATCCTATCTAAGACAACCAGCAAGCCTTACGACAAACGTGATCTTACGTTAGTTGACAACACGGGATATTCTGTTCGACTTACAGTGTGGGGAAATACCGCCAAGGAGTTTGATTCTGTACCGGAATCTGTGGTTGCTTTCAAGGGCGTGAAAGTCTCTGATTATAATGGGAGATCTCTTAGTCTGTTGAGTTCGGGGTCCATGACAGTCGATCCCGATATTGAAGACGCTCATAAATTAAAGGGCTGGTATGATGCTCAAGGAAGGTCAGAAACTTTTGCGTCTCATGACTCCATGAGCAACGCTGCAGGATTTGGTGACAGGGCTAGCTCGTTCAAAACCATTGTTCAGGTCCACGAAGGTAATTTGGGAATGTCTGAGAAGCCAGATTATTTCTCTGTGAAAGCCACTGTGGTTTATATCAAGCAAGACTCCATGGCTTATCCTGCTTGTCTCACCGACAAATGCAACAAAAAAGTTCTTCAGGATGATAACGGGCAGTGGCGATGCGAGCGATGCGACCAATCGTTCCCTCATCCAGAGCATCGCTATATACTGTCCGTGAACGTGTGTGATCATACTGGCGCCATGTGGCTCAGTTGCTTCGACGAAGTGGGGAAATTGATTTTAGGAACTTCTGCAAATGAACTCATGGAGCTCAAGGAAAATGATGAGCGGGCGTACGAAGAGCTTGTCCAGAAGGCCAACTGTCGTGCTTGGAATTTTAAATGCAGAGCCAAAATGGATAACTTCCAGGACCAGCAACGGTATGTTACCTATTACTCTCCCTACATTTGTGTACGTACTGTTGCTAATACACTTATTAGTGTCCGATACCAAGTATTGTCTGTCAGCGCTATCGATTACAGTGCGGAATCGGCTCGCCTTGCAGAGATGATCAAGGCTTACGAGATCAGCTAGAGAGAGGAGCGGAAGGCACAAGGGCTGAGGTGATATTTATCACGTTGCACATTGCGCTGTACATGTTTCTTATTCATCCTGTATTATCCACGACATGATAGCGAAATGACACATACATTGATCTAGCATTGTAAACCCCATTGTAGAACTTGTACAGATAGCCATTCTCGTTTATAAGCCGAAATACTCGATCCGCAACTCCCGAGAAAGGCTTGGTGGCGGATCAATCCTTTCCCCGGAAAGGACATGTTTGGGGAGGTTTTGCTGCTTAATAATGGTGATTGTTCAGCCGACCCGCCGAGCAAGGATCTATGTTGGCTTACGCAGCATATATCTGACAACTATGTTGTCCGCTAAAGCAAGACAAAAGCAACCTTTGTTTGTCCATCTCGATTCATTCAAATTCTGGGAAACTAGGCTGCCGTTATACTTGAGTGGAACTGACATCCAACATATCAACAATGACTGCAAACATGCGTGCAATTGGTTCGTTGCCCCAGGACTACATATGATTTATATCTTATTAACATGAAACTGTCAGATATCAAGGAAGGCAAGGGCCCCGCGGCCAACCTTTTTGTGACTACGCTCCCGAAGCCACTGCCGTCTGCAGGAGAGGCGCTTGTGAAAATCAAAGCGTTTGGCTTGAACAGGATGGATCTGTTACAGAGAGAAGGATTGTATCCGCTACCCCCTCAAGCACCTAAGACATTGGGTGTAGAGTTCTCTGGCGTCATTGAATCCTTGGGTGATGGAGACTGTCTCGACTTCAAAGTTGGTGATGAGGTATTTGGGTTGGCTTATGGAGGTATGTTGTATATCACCCTGGTTCCGCTCTCTTTAATCGCCCTTCTCAATTTCTCACATATGGGTTTTTGTGACCAAAAGGGGCGTATGCGGAATATATCTCATCTTCCGTGCAAACACTGCTTCACAAGCCCGCAGAAGTCTCCTGGGTGGAAGCAGCGGGAATACCAGAGGTAACGAATCTCTCAACCGCCCCACAGATATGTTATGTCGCATACTAATTACCCTCAAACTACAATCTTACAGACATGGTTCACAGCAGCCCAGGCTATGTATTTAGTAGGTGAATTTAAGCCAGGCAAATCAATTCTTTGGCATGCAGGCGCATCAGCTGTTTCCATCTCTGGCATCCAGCTCTCGAAAGCGGACAACGCGAGCAATATTTACGTTACGGCCAGCTCGCAGGAGAAAATCGACTTCTGTGTCAAGAATCTCGGGGCCACGGCCGGGTTTAATTATAAGACCCAGGACTGGGCTGCCGAGCTGACCAAGGCTACGAATGGCCGCGGAGTCGATGTGATCATTGACTTCGTCGGTGCAAGTTACTTTCAAGGAAATCTTGACGCGGCCGCGAAGGACGGCCGCATTGTCAACCTCGGCTTCTTAGGTGGCATCAAGCTGCCCGCTGGTGTTGATATCAGTCCAATTCTGAGGAAGAGGTTGAGGTACGAAGGCAGCTCTTTGCGGAGTAGGGATACTGTGTATCAGAGAAAGCTTCGGGACCTGGTGCTGGATGCAATGCCTAAATTCAAAGACGGGACATTCAAAGTATATGTTGAGAAAGTCTTCCCGTTCGAGAATGTCATAGATGCCCATGTGCTCATGGAAAGTAACCAGACCAAAGGAAAAATCATCTGCACCATTGGAGAAGTCTGATGGTAGAAGATAGATAGGCCTGTGAAAGGCTTTTTTGAGAGCGAGTATGATTAATGGATGATATAGAGGCATTTTACTTTGAATTTCTCGGTTTTGTTTTATGTTTTCGCTTTCCATATGCTAAATATGGTCACTATGGTAGAAGAAATAAATGTTTTTAGACAAATACTGACAATGTATATCCATGGATGTGAACTAGTCATTGTATCATATGCCAAGCTATAGGCGGTGAAGAATCGTGGCAGAATTTATCGCAAAATTCACGTTCTTTTATATAAATTGGGGAATCGGCCAGATATTTCATCTTTATCGCATTCCACGAGCACTACATCGCCTAGGGTCGACATTTTCACCATCAGCAGTACCAATTCCGGTTTCCAGTCTACCGTAAGGTAGGTATTTGGCTATTTTCAACGTGCACAACATTGAATTGATTCCATTGTAACCGATTAATCTCCAGCTGACAGAAAATATGGCTAAACGGAGTCGGAATACGGAATCTAATTCAGAGCATGCTTCTCGACCAAAAAAAAGATCCAAGGAAGATGCTAAGCCTAAGCAACCTTCCTACGTCCAATCTACCGATCTGGAAGCGCTGCCTCAGTCCGAGATTGACGACTTCCTCAAGTCCAATACCATCCAGATTTCGGATCCCTCAGTCAGTGAGAATGAGACATTACGTCCTATCACTGCGTTCTCCTACCTACCTTCGGATTCCAACCAGCTGTATGGCCCTCTAGAGAACTTCTCGAAACCGACTCCAATTCAATCCGTCACATGGCCATTTTTATTCGCAGGCAGAGATGTCATCGGTGTCGCTGAAACAGGAAGTGGGAAAACATTGGCTTTCGGCGTCCCTTGCATTCGAAAAGTGTTGGCAATCAATGCTTCTCGCTCGTCATCTCGAATTTCTGCTGTCATCATTACCCCTACAAGAGAGCTGGCTATGCAAATTTACGATCAGCTAGTCAAGTTCACCCCAAAAGGCGTTGGCCTCGCATGCATATACGGAGGCGCTTCGAAGGACGATCAGCGCCGTGCACTGAAGAAAGCATCTGTTGTTGTCGCAACACCGGGGAGGTTAAAGGATTTGCACAGCGACCAGTCCCTAGACTTGCAAAAAGTGAAGTACCTTGTACTAGACGAAGCCGACAGGATGTTGGATAAAGGCTTCGAGCAAGACATCAAAGATATCGTGGGCGCCATGCCTTCGTCAAGAAAACGCCAGACGGTCATGTTTACCGCAACTTGGCCTATGTCTGTACGGAAACTTGCGGCTACCTTTATGAAAGATCCAGTGACTGTTACGATTGGAGGCGATCTCTCTTCCGACATCCGTGCCAACACGAGGATCAAGCAGATTGTGGAAGTCGTGAAACCAGAGGACAAGGAGTATAGGCTTTTGTCGTTATTAAACCAATACCAACGGGGCAAAAATGCTATGGATAAAGTATTGGTATTCTGTCTTTACAAGAAGGAGGCAACGCGCATTGAACGGTTTATCCGCTCCAAAGGTTTCAAGGTTGCTGGTATTCACGGTGACATGAACCAGACGGAACGCTTTAAGAGTCTGGATGCATTTAAATCCGGTTCCGTACCTCTTCTGGTTGCGACGGATGTTGCTGCCCGTGGGCTAGACATTCCAGCTGTCAAACTGGTCCTAAATGTCACATTTCCCTTAACAGTTGAAGACTACGTCCATCGAATCGGAAGGTAAGATCACCACCGTGTACTGAATAATAGTGATATTGAGGTAACTAACCGGTATACTAGAACGGGTCGGGCAGGTTCGGATGGATTGGCCATTACGATGTTCACCGAGAACGACAAAGGACTCTCTGGCGGGTGAGTTTGGGATATCCGTTGTCATTGTTGCGGACGTAAAGCTGACATCACATAGACTGGTTAATATCCTGAAGGGAGCTAAACAAGATGTACCCGAAGCGCTCTTGAAATTCGGCACCACTGTGAAAAAGAAGCAGCACGATTCTTATGGCGCCTTTTTCAAGGAGGCTGACACGACGAAAACGGCGACCAAAATCAAGTTTGACGATTAGATGTATCATTTGGGTTCTCATTTATGCTGCTTTGGATTTGCGATACTGTTCAAAGAGATACCTCCTCTCTAGAAATAGACTATTTTTTTTAATTCGTTAGTTAAAGGAGAAAATATATATATATATCGGAAAAGCCAAAGTGTTAATATGAAACTTACATTGAAACCGCGAACATGCCTCCAACAACGAGTATTCTGATGATTTCCCAAAGCTTAGATTCAGCGCCGGATCGCAGGCCCCACATAACAGCGTAAGCTAAACCACCAACCACAGCAGATTCCGAGTTTGGCAATGCTTCCGTTATTCTAAAAGCAACTTTGCGATCTCGGAAGTATCTTTTGATGAACCAGGAACTCCAAACAATGCGAAGAGTCAAGTTCATGAGGTTTGCCCATATGATCCCGCTAGCACCCAATTTTCCTATTCTCAAAAACAAATAGGCTGCAGTAATGAATCCAGCAGAGCAAGCTCCCATCCAGCCAGCTTGTTGTCGTAGCTCCGAGTGTGTTGCCGTTGAGGCGACGAAGGCCTCGGTGATGCCGTTGAATGCTAGCAGCGGAATGTAGTAACAGTAGTTCGAGAGGATGCTTTGGATGCCAGGGGGTGACCACTGAGAGCCTATTAGGAGCTTGAGTAACTCTGGGACTATGGTTGGACCTAAAGCGCAGATCATGATCGAAAATATACCGTAAGCGTGGAGGATACCACAGAGGTATGTCTTGCCCAGTTTCAGGCTCTCCTTAGTTGTCGGTTCCGACTTGTTGATGGCGAGAAGCTTTCCAAATAAATTCCGGGAGCTTTCCTCGATAGGCTGGAAAATAATCCTTGCAACAAGACTTCCATAGTTGGAGGCCAGTGCATACAGGCCTTGCTCTTCAAGGGTGGAAAACGTAGCAAGCGCCATTGAGTCACCTTGGGTGAGGATGTGCTTCACCACGGACTGGGCATAGATATTGATACTGAGGGATAGTAGCGGGATAGAGAACATATTCAAAAAATAATCGGATTTTTCTCTAATAAGTCGTTAGGCTCCTGTAGCTGCTTTCAACGAAGGGGGGGACTAACCGGCAGCGGATGGGAAGAGGAAATACCGAGAAGCCACCTCGGTTTGAATATGAGCTAACTGTAAGGAAATAGGCAACAAGAAGAGTAAACGCATAAGCTGTTTGGCCTACAGCAAAGGGTAAAACGCCTAGGTCCCTTCCGGTATGAGCTGCCCATATACTGGTCCCGCATGTTGTCGAAGCTTTCATAACGGCAGCTGTTGTTTCAACCAATGCCCTTGTTTTATACAGCATCCGATGTTGGACTACAGCAAAACACGGTTCTGTCAAGAGCTCCAAGAAGCATGCAAAGCCTGTCACTTTGAGACTGCTTTCGAAGAATGGTATATCGAGAACATCTTGGTGGGCATATCGAGCATAAAATAGGCCCAGAATATAAATCAGAGGACCACCTAGTGCAACCACCAGATAAGAAAGGTTTACGACAGCCTGAATATCTTCCTGATAACTGTATGATTTGGATTCTCCTGGCTTCTCAGTATGAGCTTTTTCCGTAGCGCTCATAGGGCTCGATCGTTGAGAGTTGGAAGGTTGTCGTTGGAGGGCAACTCTAAGGCTTTCACGAGAGAAGTAGAGCGTGGTGACAGTATAGAGTTCTAACTGAGTAGTGACTCCTAATATCTCTGGGGATAGATACCGTAGGAGGAGTTGGTTTGCCAGAAATGTTAAAGCTCGAGAAACAACCTGGATCAATATCAAGTATGTAGTACCATGGGCTCCAGATTCGTTCACCAGGGACTTGGTTGATCCATTGAGGCCCATCATTACAGATTTCGAGAATGGGATGGGTTCCGGATCTAGTCAATTAACGCAGGGAGAACTTCATGCATCGCGATAGGGTGTTAAAACATTGTAGAGTTCCACATTTTCTTTTGTAGTTCTTTGGGTTGCGTTAACCTTGGAATATTGGAGGTCACATGATTAAGTTAGGTTGATGGCATAGATTTTAAGCGGAGCTCCTATACCATCGATTATGTAGAAGAAGCAAATGTTTGAGTGTATATAAATAGTATACATAGAATTACTACATAAACAACGTCGCGAACTACCCATCTTGGCCAGCAGTTGGGCTGTGTCTGTATCATCTAACGCCATTGAATTTGAAGTAAGGAATTTAGCAGTAGCCGGGACAAATTAGTTTGCAAACCCGCCCCTGAAATTCTACTTATCACCATCTATTGGTTCCTCAAACCATTACCTCTCCGTTAAAAGGGAGGGAGGAAAAATGGATAGCCCCCATTTTTGATACGGAACACGCTCAGGAGGAAGCTATACATAACAAAGATAACAGCACCCCAAACAATTACGTTGACTTTCTGTGATTTAGGATCCGCAATTCGAGGAGTCTTCATCGCAAGAACGATCGTGGCGAATGAGAGAGTAGCATCTGCACATTATCAAATATTAGAAAAGCAATTGAGAAGGAGAATGTGTCTGGGATGCTGGACAACGTATTGGCCGGGGAAACATACACATAGCCGCAACGATTTGAGTTTCCAGACCAAATTGAGACGAAAAGCCACCGGCAAAATAGTTGATACCACCCTTTCCATCCCCTGACACATATGGCACTTTTCTTATATGGTTGAACATATGTCCACTGGTGAAAAGGAGAACCGCAATCAGGCTAACAGCAGCCCACAGGTTTCTATTTTGGATAATGGGTAGGATAAATCGGGACGACACCGTAAAGAGGGTTATAGCACCAAGCAGTAATGTTGTTATTGTTACGATTCGCGCATAGTTTATTGGACGGACAACAGGTGGTCTATGGCCTTCTGGCAGGTATCGGCTCATCCAGTCCGATATCTGGTCTGCGGATAGAGGCCTTGTAAATAATTAGCAATGGGCTTCAAAATAAAGCGGGAATGTATATTGTTACCCATTGAAATCATATCGGATAGGGGATGCATCTGCTTTCGCCCCGGAGCCAACAGTAGGAGGAAAGAACATCAAGACCGGGGCGCTTTGAAGCAAAAGCTGTCAATGCAAATCGGGTCAGTTATTGGAAGACTGTAGATAGTGTAATATCCTGGATATCCCACTAACCTTCTGGAAAGTATTTTTCCCCCTAGAGAAATCCAAAGTACCGAAAAGTAATCTAGGTGTGTCCTCCCGGGCCCCTTTGGTCCAGCTCCGGGCCAGGAGGTCCCATTCAGGCTGAACTTCGCGGCAAAGCTGGCACCCATATCTCGCATCTCCAGCGGTAAGGATTATCGCAACATGGTAATCGCGTGGACTCGATGTCAAGTCGCTATAAGTCGAATCATCAAGTGGAATTGGCGTACTTGATTTTGCCAGAGCTTGGTACGTCTTGTATTTGTCCACAGTAGATTTGGCAGCAGACAACGAGATTATTAGGCAAATTAATGCCGTAAATATAGATAGAGTCCTCATGGCTAATCCTTTCCCCCTCAAATAAAGAAAGGAGATGAGACAGTTGTTCGCAAGCCTTGAAGCTAGGAGTGGTAAGATTGCATTGGCATGTGGCCACTGTGTACTCTCCGCGATGCTGGGGCAGTTCAACTGTCGGCGGATTTAGCGTGTTCTGATTTGCATGCCAAGAGTTAACGCTAAATAAAGCAGCGCAAGTTCCAACCAAAGCATCAACAGAACTTAGCGAGGTCGACTTTTCTACTTCCTACAGCAATCCCTCCCATTTTGTTCCACTGCTACTCAAATATAAAAATAACTAGGTAAAATAGTACAATACCAATGGCTCCGCGAAAGCAAAGGAATTTGGCTGTTCTACATGAGGTGGGCCCACCGCGCTCTATTTCTGCTTGCTTCCTCCTGCTCACAATAACATGTGTTAGCCGCTTCCTTCAACCAGTGCGCGTCTTGAGACAGAATATGAAAAAGCTCTCTGTCAGACCAAATTAATTATCGGCGAAGAAAAGAATCGGGTCCTACGCGTTCATGCCTTACTTGCGGATCATGATAAAGATGATCTATGTTCCGAAGTTGAAGATACCAAATCGCACCTAGCACGAGCAGAGAAGATTGGTTCAGAAGCACAGGAGCAGTTGAAGCAAGCACAGAATGATATCGACCACTTACGAAATTCGCTTCGGGCCCACTTACGGGAAATTGACGATTTAAAGGCAAGCATTTCAGGTGTACAGGTATAAGATGAATACTAATATAACCACAGTCAAACATAAGCGAATTACAAGTGACAGTAGCCGACTCGAGTAAGCTGCTGGCAGAAAAACGAGCCATGACGCGAGAAATATCCAATTTGAAACACGAAATTGAGCACCTGAGATCACAAAACTCGTCTCACCAGGCTTTGATGTCTGAGAAGCTGTCGCTAGAACGCCAGCTACGCTCGCTAGAAGTCGAGCTTCAAAACGAGAAAAATGCGTTAGAAAAGGCACGGCTGAAGTGTCTGGAACAAAGTGAGATGGACAGCAAGATTATCAGCGAATTGGGGGAGTTTAATAAGGAACTTGCAAGAGAGCGGCGTGAACGGGAAAAAATTGAAAATGACATGAAAACTGAAGCGCTCGAGTGGGCGCGCCATCGATCGGTTCTCGAAAACAAGCTGGCTACGCTTCGAAATAAGTTACGGCAGTCAAAGGATAACAGCGACTTAGACCACCCTACAATATTGGATGATGTTGGACAGGAAGACCAGAGACGGAAGAGAAGCACTTCTAGGTTTGAGACGGAGATAACGATAGCCACACCAGGCGCAGCTGCAGCTCCCCGGAGAATCAGCAGGGTGCCCACTGTGCCCGGCGAAAAATCAACGTTCTCCACAACGCCATTCCTAAATCGAACCAGTACAACGGCAGAATCTTCAGACGAGTCCGAGACTAATTCAGATGCAGAGGAAGTCCGTAGGCGAACCAAAAGGATTAAAGAGGATGCTGAACATGACCGTCCAAAGCCTCGCAAACCCTCTAGCTCAAAAGCTACAAAACCGACGAAGCAGAGACGTCCGGCAAAATCGCAAGATGTATCCGTCATGGTGAATTCCGACGATGACCACGAAGTTATGCAATCCACAAAACCACAACATGAGTCATCAACGTCGACGACAAATAAGAATGCGGGAATCAAGCGGAGACTTCTTCCTAGGAAGCCAGAAGGCACGCTGTTTGATGATGATGAAGACGGCTTTGGGGATCCCAATAAGGATAGAAGACGGATACCATCTGGATTTCGAGCTCTCGGGGGAGGTCAGTTCGGGCTAGGTGCGCCGAGTCGACGACTTGGTGGCGGTCGAGGATTAGAGGCGTATGCAGATATCTCTCCTTTGCGACGGGATATTCGAGCTGCGAGAGATTAGATAGTTCGCTCCCCTATAGAAATACCTACTTCTTTATTCTTAACGTTTTATGTACCTCTTGGGAAAAGCAAGGTCAACCGATCTTAGCGATCTTTTATGCGGTGTCCAATGTACTCCATTCTAGAGAAATAATAGCTACCTGCGGGTTCTGTTGAAAATTTAATATCATGGTCATGCCCCTTGTTGAGCTTGCGGCTGCGCAACGGCTATAGCCACGTGATAAAATTTAGTGTGGTCTTTTTTCTTCTCTCAAATATTCATTCCCATGAGGGAAAAGAAACAATTTTCAATATTATTGCAACTCAAAAATTCACACTCGGTTTACCTAATCCCATATGAAACTCCTCAATCTCCGTCTTTCCTCCCATGTGTGGCTACCAACGGGTAAAAGTTGCAGCTGGGAATCGCGGGTAGTGATTGAGATATCGAAAAGATATTCCTCGTCGTCTAAGCGATGGCAAGCTCGGCAAGCAAAGGACAAATACTCGAGAGAAGCAGCAGTGAAAGGATTGAAAAGCCGTGCAGCATTTAAACTAATACAGGTGCCATCCCTTCGACGCCAGCGTTTGTGCTGCCCTGGGCTGACGACTAGCTTCGACAGATTAATGAAAAACATAAAATATTTAAACCCGGTCAAAGTGTAGTAGATTTGGTATGGATGAATTTACTACTTCCAACAGCTTCTCTTGGATATATAGCTGACTATACAAGGGTTATGCCCCCGGATCTTGGTCACAGGTCCGAATGCCCGCGTGCCTTGTCCCTTCTTCCCTCTAGGGTTCTAATCATTGTCTTCCAGGTCGCCGTGGACCTCACGCAGCCCAACGGCCGTGTAGTCGGAGTGGATATAATTCCTGCTCAACCTCCGAAAGGTGTCTCAACAATCCAAGGAAACTTCCTTTCTCCGCAGATACAAGCTTACGTCCAAGAATTCCTACGAAACCCTAATCGTGGAAGAGCACAGTCTCTCAACCACTTCGACGACGCCGATCCACGTTCGCAACCACAGGCCGATAGCGAAGTGGAAGAAACTGAAGGTTACATTGATAGGGAACGGAGTGCTAGCTTGCATATTGCCCAGGTAGACGGTGGCAATGAAGATATCCCCGATATTGCTGTCGCGGATAAGACGGTTGATGTGGTTCTAAGCGACATGTCTGCCCCCTGGGATCAAACAACTGGTTTCTGGAAGAAAAGCCTTAGTGACCCCTATCACAGGATGATGAACACGAGCGGAATGAGCTTTCGAGATCATGCCGGAAGCATGGTATGATTGATACACGTCTCTCGCCGTCTTTACTTTATCTGTGTCACTAATGAGGAGGATAGGACCTTTGCAGGGCGGCGCTGGAGTTTAGTTTCAACGTCTTGAAAACGGGAGGTCATTTCGTTTGCAAGTTTTATCAAGGTGCTGAAGATAAAGCACTGGAAAGGCAATTGAAAGAACTATTCCAGAACGTCCATCGGGAAAAGCCAGAATCTTCTCGTAGCGTACGTTGGGAAGCCCGCTAATCTTGATATCTCACTAATTAAATTTTCTGCCAGGAATCGAAAGAAGCATACTTTATCGGTTTAAGACGGAAACATAATGCCTCCAGAGGTGCCGTTCTGTCGGACCAATAGTTCATACCGCCGCTCAAGCTGTAACGGAGCCGTTTACGATATACCGTCTGCAACTGGAAATGGGCATGGAAAGAATGTGCGTTGGTCATTTATTCTATGTCCTAAATCATTTCTCCATCGCCTTCTTCGAAATCGCTCTCCTCGAAGTCAAGGGAAGCTGACGCTTCCTCGGCTGCGCGCTGAATCTGTGGAATTTAGTTCCAAGTACGACCTGTTTTCTCATCTGAAACGGAGACTTACCTCCTTCAGACCGCTCAACTCTTCAACATAATCACGTTCATTCACCGCCTTGCGAACGAAATCCCACCCCTGTGTCTTATAGGCATCCGTTATATTACCTGAGCAAGCACTACAACAGTTGTAGCTCTTCCCGGATACGACCACGTTCGAAAAATTAGACAAAAACCCTCTGATTTGATGGGGGACGATTCCGAGAGGGTGATCGGCGTGGCTTTCTTGTTGGAGGGAGGATGCAGGTGCAGCTGGACCATTTGGATGCTGCAAAGTGGACACAAACAACTCAACTAACAAGGCGGATGCTATTGCAGCTATGCCGGGACGAGTCACCGTACACTGTTGGTCTAGCGTTTGGTCCTTAACAGACTGTAACCGAGTTAGCACACAACACATATATATGAAGAATTGAGCCAACGACTTACATCAGCTGGAGCAACAACGTCATTACAAAAGTAGCATCCCAGTTCTGTTTCTGGCGCCGAGCTATTTTCAACGCCGTGACGCATTACAACATATGTGTCGAAACCAAGCGCTGCATTCATCACTATTTTTCCGGTTGCCTTTCCCATAACGGTTGGTAACCACCGAGCCTCTCGAGTATCCAACAAAACAAATATCGCATCGTGTTCGTCAACCAGTTTCTTGAGTTCCCGAAATTCAAGTTCGGCTTTCGAAGCGTCGGTTATTGGGTGACCCGGCATTGGGACAGATATCACAAAGCCAGAAGCGTCGACACCGGGATAGATTTCTTCAAGAGCTGCGGCAGCGCGAAGGGCCTTCTTAGTCCCTCCTCCCAAGCAGTCATTAAACCCAAACAGTGGCTGTCTAACAGGATTGGAGAATGACACTGTGCCATTATCTACAAACGTAATTTTTCGAACACCCCACCCCTGTATCTTCAGCATCAGCTATTGAGCCATATACAAGAGATTTTGCTATTCTCACCAACAAATTGCGTGCAACGTAGCTACCCAGAGTTCCTGCACCTAGCAAAAGGCATTTTGTGTTTTTGATTTTCTCGAGATCCAGGTTAGGGCTGATCCTCCACTTCATAAGTTTCAAATTGAGGTCCACTGATTGATCAGCCAGCCTGTTTCGTCCCGTTAGAAACACTTTACTTAACATGGTTTAAAAATAATAATATGAAATCTTTAGACAAACCTTCTGGGGTCCATGTATTCTGTGAGATCAGTGATTCTTCCAGTTAGTTTGCCCGCGGCGTTTCGTTCCCATCCGGTGACTTTCGGCATGGGCATTTCGGACCCGAGCTGCGAGTCTTTACCGTCAGGTTGAGCTGCATCCGATCTCAATTTTATGACAATACTTCGACCTTGATCCCTTTTCGATTGAACGTCGCGGTATCTAAGAATAT